AGCACACAACAAGTGCATAATAAATGTGTGGTGAGTGAGCTGTTTGTACACATATATGCTGGAGCTCTGACCCAGGCTTGCCTCAGCCCTAAGCCCTGGGCAGCCCAAGGTGGAGAGCCGTGTCCTCGCAGGCAGGTAGGCGCTGCTAGACTTGGAGTCTCCCGTGTTGGGTCTCTGGAGGTTCAGTGGAGAAGGGAAAAGATGCCACTGAGCTTTCGGACTGGCCCAGTCTGCAGTGTCTGAGAGGTCGGGGGAGGAAAGGAGGCTAGAGAAGGCTCCCTGGAGGAAGGAGCCTCAGCTGTCCCTGGAAGCATGGCCAAGTTTAGAGCAGGGGTCAAGGAGGGTGTTGTAAGAAACAAGGAAGGGCGATTCTGGGGCCTGAGAGGAGAGGGGCCCTGTTGGGCACACCTTGGCAGGCGCTGGCCTGTGCTCTGGAGCCCTTGGACAAATGACTTGGCCTCTCTGAGCCTTAGTTTCTCTAGCTATAAAATGGAGAAAATTGCTGAAGTGCCTGCCTCACTGGGTACTTCTGAGGGTTAAATGGGTGAGTGTAAATAAATACTTAGCGTGATGCCTGGTACCGAGGAAGGCACAGTAAATGGGCCCTACTGTTATGGTCAGCAGCATAGATTCTGCCCCCTCATCCATCATACAGAGGATTAAAGAAAAGTGGCCCAGAAAGGTTGAGGAAGCCACCCAAGGTCACACAGCTCGTGAGGGCAGCATTCAAGGGGTTTCTCCTGTTTCCCCCACCCCATGTCCTCTCTGCTCTCCACCCCAAATCCACTCCCTCATACCCAGATGGCCCTGGCAGGAGGCAGGGAGGGTCAGGTGACTGCGGTCAGAGGCACGTGGGGCCGATTTGTGGGCGGTAGGGGGTCGTGGGGGCTGCCTGTCTGTGTCTGTCGGGGCGGGTCAGCAGAGATAAGACGGTGCTATCTGTGGACCTGGCTCCTGCAGCTCAGGGCCTGGATCAGGGTAGAGACCGTCTGGCTGCCCTGGGTCCTGCTCCCGCCCTGTCACAACCTGGCTTCAGCCACAGCATGTGACCTCAGGCAGGCCTTGCTCCCCTCTGGCCTCAGTTGCCCCACGTGTACCTGAGCACGGCGGCTTCTCTGTCTTCTTAGACCTGTAGAATCCATGTGGGGTGGGTGAGGAAACCCCAGGCTCCCAGCAGCCTCCCGGGACTGCTCCTCAAGTACAAAAGCCCTCAAGGGGCCCCCAAGCCAAGGCTCCCCGAGGAGCTCATGGTGGGCAGAACAGAGGCTGGCAACCCCAAGGCTGGTCCCAGGTCAGTGGCCGGTTCATCCTGTGCCTCTGAGGTCACCCCGTCTTCATTTCTCCCAGGTTTGGGCCTTAAGGGAAGGCGCCCCCCCCCCACTGACCTGGTGCTGCATCCTAGTATCTCCAGGAGGGCCCTTTGAAGACACCCCACTTGGCCATTAGCTCCTTGTGCCCCCTGTGAGTGACCCTTGGGGGACAAAAGCCCCAGTGGGCTCAGCCAGCATCTCCTAAGCCTTGCGCGCCTGCCGGCCCCTGCCTGAAACATGTCGCCTCTGTCCTGCAGAGCCGGCTCTGCTCGCGCCCTGGGATCCGCTCCAGCGTCCCTTGCTCACGGGTCTCTGGGTTCCGATGCTCACACTGTTCTTCCCTCTCTGTCCCGTCTCCCTAGTTTGGTGGCCTCCATCACCCTGGCCTCCCTCAGGCACGACAGGCTTTGCGGTTGTGGACCTGCACAGTGCCTGCCTCCCGCTTTGGTCTCCAGGAACGCTCTTAGGGCAAGAACCCCAACTGCCTGTTCGCTGAGATACCCCAGAGCCCTGCATAGGCCTGGCACACAGTAGGTGCTCAATATGTGTTTCTTGAAGAAACAAATGCATGTTCTCTGTGTGTCCAGACTTATGGGAGGTGCTGGGTCTAGGAGAGGGACAGTGTGAGAACTGATGGTCACTTGGGCAGCCACATCCTGTCCCTGGTGCCCGCCCCCATGAGGCCACCAGGATTCCCAGCCACTCTCGTCTTCCGTGCTATTTACGTTGGAACAGACTGAAATGTCACGTGAGCAATGGGGCTCCTGTTCTTCAAGCCTCTAGATAATTATCTGGGCCTTATTAAGCCCTTAAGTATTCCGAGCCACTAATCAGGCTCCCGAATATAAGGGCTTCCTCAGCTCAGGGTCAGGAGGCAGGGGTCAGTCATCTGCAGAACTTCCCTGAGCTCAGCAAGGTAAGGACAGTCCCCCACCTGTGGAACTCTCCCCAGAGAGTGTCTTATCCAGCTTTGTCATTTTACAGATGAGAAAACTGAGGCCCAGAGAGGGGAGGAGAATTGCCTGAGGTCACACAGCAAATAGGTGGCAGGGCCAGGGCTTGCATCTTGTCCTGACCCCCAACCTCATAGGTGACCTCTGGGCCTTGCAGTTCTCCAACACTGTAGGACGTAGGAGGGATCAAGGAGGCAGCGGGTCCAGTGGACCTCCCTGGGCTCCATCTGAGGTTGAGGGGAGACCAAGGAGGGAAACCCCAGGCTCTGCTTTGTAGGAACTCAGAGCTGAGCTGGGCACCCAGGAGTGGGAGGGCATCGAGGAGTATGTGCCAGGCAGAGAGAGGGAGGAAGGGACTTCTGGCGGGGAAAACCATGAGCACAGGATGGTGAGGGTTGGGGGTAGCAGGAAACACTCGTCACAGTAGGGTGGATCATTTTCACGGTCAGGTCCCATCTGTGAACTTCTAGGGGCAGCTGGGGGTTGAGGGAGGCTTCCGGTAGAGGAGGCAAGGGTTGAGATTAGCACTTGAGGGTTGAGCTGGTGATAGATGAATAGCGGGAAGGCATTCTTTTCTTTTTCTTTCTTTCTTTTTTTTAATTATACTTTAAGTTCTGGGGTACATGTGCAGAAAGCGTAGGTTCGTTACATAGGTGTACACATGCCACGGTGGTTTGCTGCATCCATCACCCTGTCATCTACATTAGGTATTTCTCCTAATGTTAGCCCTCCCCAATCCCCACACCCCCTGCTCTCCCCCCGCTAGTCCCCACACCCCCCAACAGGCCCCAGTGTGTGATGCTCCCCTCCCTGTGTGTGACGTTCCCCTCCCTCTGTCTGCGTGTTCTCATTGTTCAACACCCACTTATGAGTGAGAACATGCGGTGTCTGGTTTTCTGTTCTTGCGTCAGTTTGCTGAGGATGGATAGCGGGAAGGCATTCTAAAACGGCGGGACACCTTAGGAAAAGCACATTCAGAAACAAAACCCTAGCATTAACCGATTGTCCCAGAGACGCTCGCATGACCATGTTACCCAAAGCCACTTGTTACTCTGAGAGGGCAAAAAACCTCTGTCCCGAATAACCCTAACATCTGGCATCGGTTCTGGCCTGGGGATGGGAGACTGGGGTGAGGCTCAGTCACCCCGTCTGTGAGATGAGGCTGGGGCTGGAGGAGACCCTCAACAAGCCCCTCCTAGCTCTGTCGCCTGGCTCAGAATTTCATAGTCCCTTTGAGGGTGGCTTTCAAAGAGATTGGACACTGGGTGTGCACGGACGTGAGCACATGCCGGGGCAGGCACCTGTGTACTCACAGGGGTGGAGAAGCGCTGTGATGGATTATTTTAAGCCCAGATGATCGTGCTTTCATTTAGCGAATCTTGACTGTTGGCTTGAACGCTTCTAGATACTTAAGCTCCTTTCATCCCTCAGGTTGCTGCCTAAAGTCTCCATAGAGAGTATTTCCCTGACCCCTTAATCCCATATCCCCCCACTATTGCTTCTTGTTCCCCACCAGACTTTAAGATTTAGGAGGAGCAGAGCTGTGTCTGCCATGGGCACCTTGTAGCCTGGTCTTCTTGGCACATAGAAGACACTCAGTAGATGTGGGCTGAATGAATGAATGAATGAGTGAATGAATGCAGGCGTTGGCTCCGACTGGGAAGACAGGCCCGTGGTGAGGGCCCATCTTAGTTTGTGCATCAGGGGAGTGCTCAGTGCCTGAGCCCGCTGAGGCAGAGAGAGAGAGGAAGTGACTTCTGGCAGGGAAAACCATGCGCAAAGGATGCGGGGGTTGGGGGTAGCGAGAAACACTCATCACAGTGGGGTGGATTATTTTCATGGTCAGGTTCCACCTGTGATCTTCAAGGCTAGGGGCAGTTGGGGGTTGAGGGAGGCTTCCTGGTAGAGGAAGGTAATGGAGCTGGAGAGGGATGTGGGGTCTCTTCCCTGGCAGGAGCGTCACAGACCCAGCCCTCATGGGCCCTGCCTTCATTCTTTTCAGCCAAAGCTCAAAACTGAAATATACACTTGGCCCCTGGTTGGGACAGTTTCAGGCCTTGAAAAGTAGGAGGGAGGGTTTTCTACAGGCCAAGGGGTGGGGTAGGGCTTTCCTGGGAACCTGGAAGGGTCTGGGGTGGAAGGTCTTTGCTTAGTTCACTGTTCACTAGCTATGAGATCTAATATCTGTGCCTCAGTTTCTCTGTTGGTCAGGTGATGTCTCAAGGGGCCGTTCAGGGCTCAGAGTTGAGCTTTCTGAGTTCCACGTGGAAGTAGCATGAGCTGGAGGAGTTGGGGAGGGTCAGTGGCTATAGGGTCATGGTGGGGACACGGGGCTCCCCACCCCCACAATACAGTGGGAGCACCCTGAGTCAGGGAAGGGCTGGAATTCCCTCTGTGGCTTCAGCATTGAGCCACACTTGAACCCATGAAAGAGTGCAGTTGAACCTTCCTCCAGCCCCATCTCGCAGGCTGGTTAGAATGCCCACGAGGAATCGGGCTTACAGAGGGAAATGAGCTACCTGGGGTGTGGCTCCAGAGGCCCTGTGTTTAATCTGGGGGTTCCTCCATCCCTTGGGAGAGGGCAGTGCTCATGTTTGCTGAACTGGCTGGAGTTCAAAGGCTTCTGGACTCCCAGCAACATCCAGGGGGCTCAATCTGCTCTGAGACAGGAGATCCCCAGGGGAACTGGGGTTTGGTGGGCTGCACCCAATTCAGGTCCCTCGGCACAGGTGGCGCCATGCTGCGGATCCTGGGCCTGGCACTCTGCAGCCTGCTGACCTGCACACAAGCCGAGCCTGGGGCTCTGCTGCGGCTGGGCATGGACATCATGAACCACGGTGAGCTTGCGGGCCCAGGCCGGGGGCCGGGAGGTGGTGCTTGGGGTAGGTGGTAGGTAGTCACTGCTCATGGTTGCACATCCTGGAGCATCCTGCGAGCCTCGGAGTAAACTTATGAGCAATGTATTATTATTATTCTCCAACTTTAGAGGGGAGAGGCCAAGGACCAGGGATGATTTTCCCATGCTCCCTCTGCGAGTTAGAGGCAGAGCTGGAAATCCCGCTCCCTTGGAGCCTCTTCTTGACTCTGATGGCAGAGCTGTTTAGCCACAAGTGGGCTGTGGGAGGGACAGACAAGGGTCAAATCCCAGCAACAACTTGCTGTGTGACCTCAGGCAAGTTACTTGCCTTCTCTGTGTTGCTGTTTGCTCATCTGTAAAGGTGAAATGTAAAGAAATGTAAAAGAGGGTGACCAGTATGTCCCTAGCAGGATCAAATAACATGTGAGATTAAAATCTCTCGGAGGAGACCTTAGTAAAACGTATTTTCCACCTCCACCCCATGCTCCACTAGCACAGGGGAAACGGAGTCACATCCAGGTGCAAAAGCCTAATGACTATTCTACCAACTCAGGGGTTGTCCCCTCGCTGGGAATTAGCTTGTGACCATTATGGAGGTGTTTCTGGCAAGGTGCTATTGGCGGTTGGGGCCTCTAGGTTTAGGGAATCAGAAATTCTCTGCTTTGGGCTCAGAATCTGCATTCAGGTCCCCAGAGGAGACCCTAATCACCCAGGCTTGGGAGTGGCTGGTCCACAAGATGAAGTCAGTACCCAGGGTTCAAGAGCTCCGCTATATGCCTCCTGCAAACGACTCCAGTTTCTCTGTCGTGTCTGTCCTCACCCTCCAGCCATGCTGACTCTCTCTTCTTCTCCCACCGTGCCCCTTTCTCTCCCACCCACCTTTGCACTTGCTGTGGCCTCTGCCCAGACGGATACCTCTGATCTCTTTGCTTCCTGCTGAAAATTATTATTCCCCCTTCAAGGACCAGCTGAGCTGTCATCTCATCCTGGAAGCCTTCCCCAGCTCTTCCCTTCCTGCCTAAACCCTGGTGTGGCTCCTACAGCTCGTTACTGTCACTGCTGGTGACTCTGTCTTCCCCCATTAGGCTTGGGTACTATGGGACTCATCTCTGGGTCTCTGCCATCATCCAGCCCAGGGTGGGGCACAGTGAGTGTGAGTGGCCTGGGATGCCTGAGAGATTGGCCCAGGGCGAATCTCTCCAACTAAATGCGTCCATTCCAGAGGTCCAGAGTGCCATGGATGAGAGTCATATCTTAGAGAAGATGGCAGCTGAGGCAGGCAAGAAACAGCCGGGAATGAAACCTATCAAGGGCATCACCAAGTGAGTTGGGAAGGGGAGCTGGAGGGTGGTGGTTAGGGCAGAGGGTGGTGGGGAGTGCTGTGCCCCAGACCTGAGGAAGCCAGGTAATGGTCTTGAGTAGGTCACTGCTCCTGCCTGGGCCTGGACTTCCTCAGCCATTCACTGGGGACAATTTCGGGTCATTCTGAGGAGGAGACGAGGTTGGAAAGTCAAATTTCAATTCCCTGCATGCAACATGAGCTCACTGAATGTACGTGAAATTCAATGAAAACATCCTCAAATAGAAGAGCTGGAAAGGCATCGAAATCATCTAATGACAAGAGGAAATTGGTGCCTTTGCAGGGGCTGCCTGAAACGATGCACGTGGGAGGGTTCTGAGGCACCATCTACACTTAGCAGGCTCTAGGACTGTGACCGACTAGCATGTCTGCCAAGAGCCCAGAATGGGCTAGTAGGGGGATGTGTGCCACGTCGTTTGGTATCCTGGATCTCAACGAGTGGTTCTCGACTAGGGGTGATTTTGCCTCCAAGAGGACATTTGGCAATGTCCAGAGACATTTTTGGTTGTCACAGGTTGTGGGGGCTCAGGGAGTGCTACTGATGGGCTTTGGTCAGAGATGCTACAGGATATCCAATAATGGACCAATCAGCTTCATGACAAAGAATTATCCTGCCCAAAATGTAGATGGTACCACTTTTGAGAAATGCTGATCTAAGCAAACCTCCCATTTTATTGATGGGGAAATTGAGGCTCACATAAGGAAATGGAACAGCCCAAGGTCTCACAGTCAGCCATGTGTCCCACCTCCCATGTAATGAGTGCTTTCTATGTACAAATTGACTCATGTCCAGCCTTTTGTTTGCATTTTATAATGGCCCCATGAGGCAGGCTTACCCCTGTGACATGGGATGGGGGCTGGGGTTAGCCAAAGGCTTCCCAGTAAGATGGTAGAGAAGTAGGTGGAGGTCCCAGGTCTTTGCCTGCTCAGATCTCATTGCTGTGGCTGCCTGCACCTCCCAGTTTGAAGGTGAAGGATGTCCAGCTGCCCGTCATCACCCTGAACTTTGTACCTGGAGTGGGCATCTTCCAATGTGTGTCCACAGGCATGACCATCACTGGCAAGAGGTGAGTGTGGCAGGGGAGGGGCCGGGGGAGGAGAATGGCCTTCCTGTCTCATCCTTACGTGCACATTTATTGAGTGCCTACTGTGTACCGTCTGAGCGTTGTGATCTAGGATGCTGTAGACTTACCCACTGCCTTTGTCAGGAACCGGACCTAAGCACAGCCACAGACCGAGTGGCTGGCCTAGGACGGAGGAAACACCAGGCAGTGGTAGGGGTGATCAGAAAGGTTTTGGGGAGGCAATGACAGCGAAGCAGGATTTGAAGGATGTGTAGGAGTTCACCAAAATAAGGAAGGAGGGAGAAAAGCTGGTTGTGTGACCTGGGGCAGGTCCTGTCCCTTTTCTGTCTTGTGGGGGTGGCCTCCCATCCTTTCCCCCTCGCAGCTGCTGAGATCGTGAGCAAAGAGAAGGCAGGGAGATTGGACACCGTGGCAGAGATGCCCATGGTACCCCCCGATCTGTCCTCCAGCTTCATGGGAGGGAACATGGAGATCATCGTGACCCTGAACATCACAGCCACCAACCGACTTCTGCGGGATGATGAGACAGGCCTCCCCGTGTTCGAGAGTGAGGGCTGTGAGGTCATCCTGGTCAATGTGAAGACCAACCTGCCTAGCAAGTGAGGGGCTCTGTGGCTGGGGAGGAAGGCCGGTCCATGTTCCTACACCCCACCCCCAGCATATCACTTCCAAGCCCACGGAACCTTCTTAACCACTGTCCCTTTATGTCCTGTGCCTAAATCCCTGCACTGGTGTACCTATGCACCTATCCTCGGTGCCTGTGTCCATCTAGCATGCTGCCCAAGGTGGTCAACAAGTTCCTGGACAGCACCTTGCACAAGGTCCTCCCCGGGCTGGTGAGTGGCCCAGAGAAAGCCTCCACCCCTCGTTGCTGGGACTAGGGCTGGCAAATGCATTTCTATTGGGCGCTGACCCTGACTGTCGGTTAGTGGCTGGGAAGGGTTCTGAGACTGGCTGGCTCGGTGGAAGAAAGTGCCACAGTCATCTAGGGATGCCTGCCACGAGCAGGGGAGGAGGCGGTGACAGCCTGCACACACAGCTTGCCAATCCTGCTTTGATGTCCAGTCCCAGGGAAAGAGTCCCTGCTAATGTTTGCAGACTTTGATCTGGGCAACAGATCTGGACTCTACTCCAAGCTCTGCCGTTGACTTTCTGTGTGACTTGGGACCTCAGTTTTCCCACCAGTGCCTGTCTCACCGGGGCTCTTGGGATTCCCTACGGGGTAGCATTCAGCTGTGTGGAGGCTTTTGACGCAGGGACCCTCTCAGCTCAGTGCCTTCTCTTCTTCCAGATGTGTCCCGCCATCGATGCAGTCCTAGGGTATGTGAACAGGAAATGGACCAACCTCAGTGGTGAGTGTAGCTCTAGCCGCACCCTGCCCCTACCTAGGGACATTAGGATAGATGGACTTCGATGTCCCGTCGCCCATCCTAGTGCCTACTTCCGGCCCAGCCTTGGGACTGAAGGAGGTTTGAGGTCATGATGTTCATCTCCCCACTGTCCAGATGGGAAACCTGAAGTCCCCGGGGAATCTGGGTTCCTTTTCTCTCATGTCCCAATCCAACGTTGCATCCCAAACCCCACAAGACTCCAAGGACGGCAGCCCTTTTTCACTCGACCACAAGCCTTGTGCCTGATTAGTAACCCCGATGGTGGTAATGCCTGAATCTCCTTTGCTGAGGGGATAGATGCTTCCATCATTTTGGGGTCCCAGTGTGGGAGAGAGGAAACCTCAGTGACTGGGACTGAAGAAAACTCATTCGTGCCCCCAGCAGCGTGGCCTGGGAAAAGTCACTTCACGCTTCTCAGCCTCGGTTTGTTCATCTGTGAAATAGAGCTGGTAATCCTGAACATGCCAGGCTGTTGTAAGGTCCTAGCAGCAACAGCCCTTGGTGGACGCGCAAGCTCTGTGCTGTGTGCCACGTCATGTGGCTTTCCAGGCTGGGCACCATGGCCTCCATTTTACAGATGAAGTTACAGAGGCCTGGAGGTGCTTGGGTCACATGGAGGGCCAGGTACAGGTGCCAGTTGGCTAGTGCCAGCTTCTCTGGGCTGCTCCCAGGGTTGGTGCCTCTTTGAGTGGAACCTCCTCTTCACACAGACCCCATGCCTGTGGGCCAGATGGGCACTGTCAAATATGTCTTGACATCCACACCAGCCACCACAGCCAGCTACATCCAAGTGGACTTCAGTGTAAGTGGCGGGGGCCACCCAGGAGCTGAGGTCTCAGGATCACTGATCAGGGTGGTGGGTGCTGCTTCTGCCCAGACAGGTGGCTGAACTAGGGCTCTGGAGGGAGGAAGGCCCCTCAAGTCCTGGAGGCCAGGCCCGCCATGAGGGTGTTTGTGGACCCTGGACCTCTCCCTCTTTCTGCTCTCAACACGAACCTTCAGTGCCCCAGCTTCTGGGGCTGCTGACTTCACACTCATGTTCCCCGCTAGGCTGTTTGCTTCTCCCAATGAGTGGCTCACCCAGTTGTACCCTGCCATTGTATAGATAGCAACACTGAGGCCTAGGGGGAGGGGAGGGCTGGGCTAGCGTCCTGCAGTGAGTTGGTGTCAGAGTTGGGCCCTCACCCAGATCTCCAGAGCTCCAGGCAAAGAGGTGAGATGCATCTTCCAGGAATGCGAAGTAAAATGTGAAAGACGTCACCTCCCTGTGAGGTCCTCCTCCAGCGGGGTTCTTAGAGGCCCCATGTCAATTTCTGCCTGCTTCTTTCTCTTGAGAGCAAAGCAGGAATCACGTTCTGAATACATGAGGGCTCCAACCACTCAGAGCAGCTGAGGCTACCAAAGCAGTGCCGGAAGAAAGTGCCAGTGGTTGACTGACTGACTCCCTTATCCTCCCAGGCCTCAGTCTACCCACCTGTACACTGGAAGCGTTGGCCCGCTGTCACTCATTGTAGTTCTATGGATAGCATTTAATGATTTGCTGACTTTGGGTTTGGCGGGAGCCCCATTTGCTTGGAGGACTGAGATACCCCTTGACACTATCCCTCAAGCCCAGGCTGAGTGTCTCGCTCTCACTGTCCCACAGCCTGCGGTGCAGCAGCAAAAGGGCAAAACCATCAAGCTTGCTGGTGCCGGGGAGACCTTCGCGTTCCCTGAGGGTTATGCCGAGGGCTCGTCGCAGCTGCTGCTCTCAGCCACCCTCCTCTCCTCAGAGCTCACCCTTCTGCAGAAGTCCTTCCACGTGAATATCCAGAATACCATGGTGAGCTGTCCAGCTCCCATCCCATCGGCCTCTGTCCATGACAGTGCAGTCCCTGCCTAGTTTTTCTGCTATGAAAATTATCCTGGAGTTGTGGGCAACACTAGGACTGAAAGATGCAGGACTCATGTGAGTTTCTCTCATCAGTTCATCTCACTACCCACCATCCCTCTGTCCATGTAACTCATCCATACATCCATCTGTCCATACAGCCAACCATTTATCAACCAACATCACTAATGTCTGGGCCACCCATACGCCCTCCTTTTATCCAAGCATCACCCACCTACCCATCTTTCCAGCTGTCATGTATTCATGTCCTAGGTTCTATCCTTCCAACAGCATCCATCTGTCCCTTCATATCATCCACGTAACACCTACTACAAAGTGTGATACCGTTAAATGAATGAATGTATGCACCTGCCATTCACCACTCAAACACCACTACATCCACCCAACTTTCCTTTATCCATCCTCATACTCATCCACTCATTCAGCTAGCCATCCATCCATCCATCCATCCATCCATCCAATGTCCATTCATTCCTCACTGATCTATCCATTCATCTTCCCAACCATCTGTTCACCATTCATCCATGTACCTTCCCATCCATACTCCCACCCATCAGTCCATCCATCTATTTTCCCATCCATTTATCATTCTACTCCACCATCTCCCCATCCACCCATATTCCTATCCACCATTCCTTTCATTCAAACACCCACCCATCTTTCCATCCACACATCACTCATCTGTGTATCCTTCCCTAGATTTCTGCCTACCCATCCATTCATTCATCGTCCTCCCACCCATTTTCCCATCTGTTCATCCATTTCCCCATCCATCTATCTATCCATCTCCAAAATGTCTGTCTACCCATCCCCTTCACCCACCACATCTACCCATTCTCCCATGTATCTTTCTGCTTTTTCAACAACAACATTTTCTCAGCATTTGGCCCTGTGTTAAGAGCTATGAGTATTGAAATGTGTAAGTCATCACCTGGGCTACCCAGAAAGCAGGTTATCTAGTTAAGCCCAGAGTGGTAAGTGTTGTGATGAAGGGAGCCTCAAAGGGTACACCTTATTAAGTCAGTGGAGATGTTTGTTAGGATGGGCCAGGCAGGACTCCAGCAACCCTAACCTTGACTTTTGTTTTGTAGATTGGTGAGCTGCCCCCACAAACCACCGAGACACTGGCTGGCTTCATTCCTGAAGTGAGTGCCACACCTCCCCATCACCACTGTACCCTGTCCTGCCCTATTGTCCTCCAGTCAAAGCAGTGGGACTTGGGAGGCAGCTTTTCATGACACATGTTCCTTGTCCAACGTTGAAACACCTTGCCTTCTTCATAAAGCGCTTCCTGGATCCAGCATAGGAAACAGCTCTACTTTTGTGCATTGCATTCTACCTTCTATGTCCAGGAGAGAACAGCCAAGTTTTATTTCCTGATAGACGCAGGAAATAAAAGAAACAAAATACACAATTGTGTCCAATGTAGAAATCGCCTATGTCTTGAGCGACCACTTATTTCAGCTGAAGCCACTAGCCTAAGGACCGGCCCTGAGTGAAGTGCTTTGGTTTCTGTAGATGGCTGTGGCTTATCCCAAGTCAAAGCCCTTGATGACCCAGATCAGGATAAATAAGCCTCCCAAGATCACCATGAAGACAGGCAAGAGCCTGCTACACCTCCACGGGACCCTGGAGATGTTCGTGGCTCGGAGACGGGGCAAAACTACAACGTCCCTCTTTCGCCTGGAAGTGGTGAGGGAAATCGTTCCCTTCCCCATTTATTCCCAACCTTGTGGATATTCAAGCCTGGAGGAGGGGATTTTTTAGTTGACAGCCAAGTCATGGGTCAGAGCGTTCTCAGTTAATCTCGACTATGTCTGATCCTTGGCTCTGCCATTGAACCTTTGAACGGCCAGAAAATCCAGCAAATGGAGGGTCAGTGGCTTAGTACTTTCTTTCTCTTTCCTCCCGTCTCTCTCCTTCCAACATTCTTCAGCAACTACAAAGGCAGGGAAGAGTTCACAGGGGGGACTATGAGTTCCTAGGGAGATCCCAAATCCAGTTTGGGGAAATCACAAAGGGCTTCCAAGAGGAGGCGATAGCTGAGCTATGTCTTGAAGGTTGAGCAGGAGCTTGCCAGAGAAGGTTTGGGGACAGAGAATACCCCAGGCAGAGGTTCCAGCATGTGCAAAGGCCTGGATCAATAATATGATGTGTGCAGGGACCAACTGGTGGTGCCAGGTATTTTGAGGGGTGCTGCCCTGGCTCAGGACAAGGAGGGATGAGAAGCCTCGGCTGGGGCAGTGGGGAGATGGCTGGGTTCAGTTCCTGAGGATGAGCAGAAAGAGGATCCCCTGCTTTGTCTTGGCAGTGGTGGTGGTGCTGGGAGGGTGGTAGTCTCTGGCTTTGCCAGTCCTGATGGTGGGGAACCCCCTGCCTTCTCCCTGCTTCTCCCCACCATGCCAGCACTTCAATCTGAAAGTCCAGTACTCAGTGCATGAGAACCGGCTGCAGATGACCGCCTCTTTGGACAGGTAGGAGCCTGCTGTCCCAGGCTGGCATCCCTGTATCCCTTCACACTCGGCCCCCTGCTCCAGCGCACCCCACACGACCAGGCTGATCCACCCAGCACATTCCACACTGCCAGGCTGCTCTAGTTACTCTTCCTGCTCAGGAACACTCAATGGCTCCCCATTGTCTGCATAATCTTTTCTCAAATCTTAGTCTGGCATTCAAGGCCCTTCTTAAGTTCTTCCACCTCTACCCTCACTTTTCCCCTAGGCTCTTTCACAGTGAATCTGGTCATGGGCGCATGCCCCCTTTTTCATGAATAAGCCTTTATCCATGCCATTCAAATGCCACCTGAGAGTCGGGGTCCAGCTCAAATGCCACCTCCTCCACAAAGCCTTTCTTTACACTAATAGCAGCTAACATTCATTTATGGAGCTCTCTCTATATGTGAGGCACCAGCTGCATACATTATATTCATGATCCTATTTCATTCTTACACCTCGGGAGGAGAGTACCACAAACATGTTAGCTTAACATTCGGTCACTATTAATTCTTGTACTTGCCTTAATAATTAATCACGTCAGGATTAATTATGTCAGTATTCTTTCAGTTGCAAGAGAGAGAATTTCAACTTTAACTGGCTTGAGCCCCAACGGGAATCCTTGGGTCACATAACTGAAAACTTCAGGGGTTGTTCTGCCTTCAGGTGTGGTTGGATCCAGGCACACAACGAAATCCTCGAGAGTCTGTCTCCCTCTTCCTCTCGACTTTGCCGTTCACTTTGTTAGCTAAATTCTCAGGCAGCTTCTCCCCTCAGGGTGGCAGAGTGACCTCGACAAGAGAAGCCTCTTGTCCAGTGGTTCTGACAAAATTACCGAGGCATGGATGTAGTTTGGGTCACAGGACCAACTCTAAGCCAGTCACTTGACTGAGAGATGAAATGCTCTGATTTGGCTGGGCCTGGGTCACAGACCCACCTGAAGGACTTTGGTTTCAGCCTGTCCGAATGGCTTGGCGTGAGAGTGGAAAGTGGAGGGTTTGTTACTGGAATAGAGATTAGACGGGTAGAGCCACCAAGATGGTCGTCACATGGTCTGCTCTGGTGCCAACGTATGTTAGTGCCTCCTGGGGCCTGTGCAGGGGAGGGGGCTGAGGGAAGGGCTCCTGATCTGTGTCCTGCAAGGATCTGAGACTGCCCAGTTGGGCTGTAAACCTCCCCATAGCTGGCCTTGGGCAGCAGCAATAGACACGAACGGGGGTCCCAGAGGGTAGAGTCAGGACCAGGGAGAGGAGACACGGGACAGTCTAGTGGTTTGAGCTTGGAGAAATCACGGGCTGTAATGAAAGGTGGTCAAGTGTCTTATCATAGGTAGCAGACTCAGGAGCACCTGGTCTGAAGGCTGTAGACGGGACTCCTGCGTCAGGGAGGTGTTGGGGTGCTTGGGAGCCCCTTCTCCAGGGCCAGGGCCACTGGCTCTGATCACTGTTTCCCTCCCCGCCTGTCCCGCTTCCCCTTTCCCACAGATTACTGAGCTTGTCCCGGAAGTCCTCATCGATTGGCAGCTTCAATGTAAGTGTCCCAGGTACCCCCGCGTGAGGACAAGACTGGGCTGATTCTCCCTTGGGACTGCAGGCCAAGGCCCTGAAATGGAGGCAGATGAACAGAGCCAGGCCCCTGTGAGGCCTGGTGCTCTTGACATGCCTTGTGAGCTGGCGAAAGTCCCTTAGCCTCTCTGACTCCCTGTTTCCGTTTCTGGATAGAAGCTGGACACCTCCCTGGATTGGTTTTAAAAACATTGCCGTGAACAGTGGCAGCCTGGGCTGGCCTTGGTCGGCCAAGCTTTAGCGTCATTAGTCTCTGTAGCCTCAGGGCCCAACACAGAACCTGACCCTAGGAGGTGCCAACACCACCAGCACTTACTCTGCGATCATGTGCTTTATCTAAACTCTCTTCATCCTCATGGAAACCCTGGGAGCAGGTACAATTCTATTTCACTTTCAAAGACGGGAAAGCTCAGCTATAGAGAGGTGGTAAGTGAGGGACTCATCAAAGCTTCTGAGTTTCTGTAGGGTCAGGAGCGGGGTCCGCAGAGCCACCTCTTGTCTCCTGAGTTTTCCCATTCCTGCACCGTGACCCAAAGCCCCGCATGTCATCGGGATTAAGCGGAGGTGAAGGGTGTAGGTTTACAGTCCAGAGCCAAGGCCAGGCCCAGTTTTGACGCCAGCTGGAGAAACTAACTGACGTCTAATACTCACTTCTGTGATCCCCAGGCCCAGCCAGAGGGCCAAAAAGATCTGTTGAATGGTGTGGGACTGAATGAATGCAGGTGTCTTCTCTTTCTCTCTCTCTCCAGGAGAAGGAATTAACTGGCTTCATCACCGACTATCTCGAAGAAGCCTACATCCCAGTTGTCAATGGTGAGGGCTCCAACAGGCTTTGGTTTTGCTGGTGCCAGGAAGCACTTTAAACAAGGAGGGGTGGCCCCTGGGTGGTCTCAAAGCCCTGGCACTCGCCCCGGATGGGGGAGGCTAAAAGGGAGTGGCAGATAACTGCTCAGCCTTTGAAGTGAATGTAGTTCACCTGTCTGGAGACAAACGCCTCTCCCACAATTTGAGCTCCGACACTTGACCCCGCATCATAACCCCACATCTCGACCTGGGATGTAAATCCGTGGCAGAGCAGGATTATTAGCTCTTTGCCTGTACAGCCGGCAGGCATCACGAATCAATCACTACACTATCTCCCACTATCCCTACCCAGGCAGCCAGTCCTTAATCAACTGCGCAGCAGTCAGGCTGAGATGACTCTTAACTGTATTTCTCAGATGTGCTCCAAGTTGGGCTCCCACTCCCGGACTTTCTGGCCATGAATTACAACCTGGCTGAGCTGGACATAGTGGAGGTGAGAGAAGGGGCTGGGCGAGGTGATGTCAATCAACACTGTCAGACAAATGAGTGACCAGCAAGAGCCTACCTCTCTCAAACCGGAGCGGGTAGAGCCTGGGAGGGCAGGTGGCTGTCAGGATAATCCCGCCCCTCACCATCTAGAGCCCTCTTTGGCCAGGATTCCACAGAAGGATGCTTGAACTCTGCTACTTTCTTGTTCTGCCACCTCGGGCCAATTACTTCACCTCTCTCTGTGTCTCCATTTTTCTGCGCTTAAAATGGAGGTGATAATACAGACATTGTCCTCATAGAGCTGTTGTTACGCTTCATTGAGATCATTTACCTAAACGCATGCAGTGAGTGCTCAATAAATATTATCTTGTATTGCATGCCAGCCTTTGAGCTTGGAGTGGTAAACGTACATTTTTCTTATCTGCTCTCTTTGCGCTGGGAGGTGGGGGTGCTTGTCCTCACTTGACAGTTGAGAAAATTGAGGCTCAGAGAGGTGGAGGGACCGCCCCAGGGTCATAAGGCAAGTCTACTTCAACCTTTGCTTAAACACCACACTGGTTTCCATTTCCTGGCAAGGCCCCCAGTTCCATTCCATCCCCGTGCCTGGGTGGTCCCTGGTCATTGCTCCCCTATCCCTTTGCCTCCTGCCAGAATGCCCTGATGCTGGACTTGAAGCTGGAGTGACCATGGCAGGACTTACCCGGCAGTTGTCTCATACCGACAACCACCTGCAACCCATGAAGGAGCCCCCATGATTGGAGCCAGGTGGGCCTGGCCCCTACCAGTGGTCGCTGCTTCCTTTGACAAGGAGTAAATGGGTCAGGCCTGGGCTGGAGGCTTGCCAATAAACAGGAAAAAAGGCTCTTAAAAACATCTGGAGCTGTGGTCTCTTTGTTTTTTTAAGTAACAAATCTGTGTGTGGCTGTTCTTCCCCTTTGGTGGGTTTTGGGGTCTAAGACTAGCTTGTGAGCTGGAGGACAGCTGGTCACAGCTTGGGGGAGTTCTTAGTACCTATCGAGTACCTGCTCCATGCCATGCCCGTGGCTTTACTTGTACCATCTCACTTAATCTACACAAGAACTCTATGGGTAGAGGGCAAGTGTCATTCCCACCTTACAGATGAGGAAACTGATGCACAGGGAGACCAACTCCCTTGTCCAAGGTCACATAGTTTAGCAAGTGGCAAAGCTCTTCCCACCTTAGCTATATGCCAAATCTTGGCAGCTTGAGGATGGCTCTGTTCACCTGGAGCCTGTTACCCCAGCAGCCTTCCCTGTGTCACCTTCTTTAATCCTCACAGCAGTTGAGGGAGGTGGGGACTGTCCCCATTTCATGGATGAGGAGATTGAGGCTCAGAGAGGTGGAATGACTGTCTTGAGGCCAGCTGGCAAGTCAGGAGGTAGAGCTGGGATGGGAATTTGGCCTGTGAGGCCAGCTTGCCAGGGTTCGAATCCTGTCTCTGCCTTCATGTTGCTGTGTGTCCTGGGCATGTCAGATCACCAATCTGAGCCTTGGTTTCCTCACCTGTAAAATAAGAACAATGGCAGTACCAACCTCAGCAGAGTCATTGTGAGGATCACATGAGTGAAATCATAAAAGGTGCTTAGTATGGTGCCTGGCACACGGTAAGTGCCCAATACATGTTAGCCACAGGTGGGTTTTTGAGTCAGAGAGATGTGCACAAGTGTTTCTGTGTTGGCGTGTGGATAGGTATTGTGTGGCCCTGAACCAGTTGCATGGATCAGTGTATAAAGGGCCTGCGGGTCAGGGGACCTGTCGGGAGGGTCTGTGCAGATGTAGGGCCAAGTGTGGGGGTTTGTGTGTGACAGGCCCCTAGCATCCGTCCGCGTCTGCGTGTGTCTCTGTTCCCATGCTCACTTGCAGATAGTCTGTGCCCAGGGTGTTTCCATGTCTTTCATTCATGTGAGGATCAGCTTCCTGACATTTGCCATATCTGTCCCCTGTGCCTCCTGGGATTCACACTGATGCTACTCTAAGATGGACTCCTTTTTTGACGTAAATTATGTTTACATGTAGTCAAGTTAAAATACATCTTAAATGTATTCTTCTTTAAAAAAACGTGTCGAAAGATTAAATCAATTTGTGAAGGACACTGTAAGACGCTAAAACTGGTTTAAAGGAGAATTCAAAGTGTAGACACAGACACAGGCCATCAGGGATGCAGAAACGAATTTGCCAGAGGCTTGTTCTGCCCGTCACACACACTCCTATGGGTCATCTACAGCTTCCAGAATTGAAGAATAGCTCAAGTAGCTCAAAAATACACTATGGATGATACAGCTCAGAGTCAGGCAATGAGCAAAAATCCAGAGACATTTTGAGGTCACAAAAAGAATTTTAATGCTAGCTAGTAAGGAAATTACTTCTTAGTGCTCATAAAAAACATGACTTTCCCACTCAGGTTTATTTGTAAATCGGATAGAGCTACCATCTCACTTTTCATTGCTATCAAATGTTAACAATAACAACAAGGAGAGTGAAGCAGTATACAATAGGAATATATTTCTATGATGAATATCTACATGTATATTCCTATACACATATATACACACGCTACACACACACACACACACACACACACACAAGTGTGCACATATATGGATAGTTTACATTTCCTGGCCAGTGTTCAGAACAACTAAAATAAAAAAGAAAAAAACACAAATATAATTTTATTTTGTCTTAGGAAAAGTGTATGTTTACATATATATACACATGCACACATATATAATGCCTACATGCATATTAATATATATGTATGTATGTACATTCACTTTATCAGATGCTACATCTGATTGATTTTTCAGATGATAATTCAGGTTTGATCTTTGTTCTGGGCTGTCTCTACTGTGTTTTCTCTCAACTGTCAAGTTCCATTTTATCAACACTTTAGAGAGTGGGTCAAGGCATGAAAAGGCAAACTTCAGGAGGCGAAAATCACTAGTGATGCAGGTGGCAATTTGGGAGTCGTCGACTTTGTTTCCCCCCGGCACTGTGGACCATGAGAGTGGTCTGGGAGCAGCACCATGGGACTCCCTCTCACTCATAGGGGTGCAAACCAAACAGCTGGGGCTGGAAGTCCTGCAGGGAACTCAGCACCAGGGTGGCCTTTATGGTCAGGTCTCGGCTCAAGTTTCCATCTGGAACCATGACCACCTGCATCCCAGCGGCCAGGGCTACCTCCACCCCGTTGGGCGCATCTTCCAAGACAAGGCACTCCTCCACGGGAAGAGGTGGAGAGAACCTCTTGGCACAAGCCAGGAATACTGCAGGATCGGGCTTGCAGCTCTGCACTTCGGGGTCGTCTCCCAGCGCGATGCGATGGAACAGGAGTTCCTTGTGCCTGCTCGTCTCCGCCTCGAAGGATGCGGACTCTGAGGTGGTGGCCACGGCAAAGGGGATGCTGTATTTCAGCAGGTGGAGGATGAGCTTCTCAGCCCCTGGGCCTGAGCGCCGCGGTGGGGAACACGTCCCTCAGCCTGGCTTGGCTTTCTTCCATCAGCTCCTCCTTGGACATTAGGAGCTGCAAGACGCCCGCGACCTCCCGCGCCGCCGCCAATGCCCTCTTACCCATGACCTCGGGCTTCACACCCCAGGTGTATTCCTTTTCATAGCTATCACATGTGTCTTGAAACATCACTGAACGGACCCGTTCAGTATCCAGAAGCAGGCCGTCCACGTCGAAACGGAGGATCGTGGAGGACCGCAGGGGCGCCGCCACGATGCCTCTGCCTTGGCCGGCGTCGTGGCAACCGGAGGGAGCGCGCGACCCGCCCACCACGCACACGCGCGCTATGCGTCCCCGCAAAGGGCCTCTAAGTGGACTCCCGCAAATCAATGTCACTCGCTAGACTGTCTTTTTAAAAAATCTGTAACTCTGGGGGGAAAAAGATGTATAAGGGGCCTCCTGTGATCAGCCCTGGAAATTATGGGGGTGATGTCTATGTGTGTCTGTCTGTTGGGGTGTGTGTATGCGTGTGTATGCGTGTGTGTGTGTGTGTGTGTGTATATATATGTCTGTCTTCCTGGGGTGAGACTCTGGATGTGGGGATTTGGGAGCATCTGTGTGAGTGGGTCTGTGTCTGGGCACACACATGGGTCTGTGAGTGGTGTGGCCAGAGGCCTGATCAGGCCAGTGCTCCCCAAGCCATGGGGCCCTGGCAGGTATGCCCTGTCCCAGCCTGGCCCAGGCCCATGCCACAGAGGAGGAGGGCCCCTATTGCTTTGTCCCGGATGCCAGGGCCTTCCCCCTGTCCCTATGAGTTCTAATCCCGTCACTCATTATCTCCCCAGCTCTGGGACAATGGCAGCTTTGAGGGAGGCCTGGCAGGTTCAGACGCCAGGCTAATCTATGGGCTCCTGATGCCTGGCCCTGGGCATGCCAGAGACACCTCTGTCCCCAACCCCACCCTTGGATGTTCCCACAGCACACTTATGGCTACCTAAAGCCTTGCTGCCACCCTCTCCAGGCCCAGTGTGCTGATGGGGAGGCCAAGGCACCAGCTGTTAGGGCTTGAAGGCCTGGCTTCTTGCCAGGCTTTGAACAAGCCACAGCTCCTCTCTGAACCTCAGTTTACTCATCTTTACAATGAGGAAGGGGTTGGATGCTCTGATCTCTAATCTGACTTCAATAGTCTTTGAGTGGTCAGCTCCCCCAGATTTACCCTGAGCAGAAAATGCCGGCTGGACTGGTAAGGGAGCCCTATTCCATGACCCCACTTTCTGGGGAGGCACTGATAGGAGGTCTGCTGGGCACTACTCACCTCCCAGACTCCTCCAACCCAGATAAGGAAGTGGAGGCCCAGAGAGATGAAGCGACCTGCCCAAGGGCACGTGGCACACATGCAGCTGGGCTTGAACCCTGTCTTCTGAGTCCAAGTCTCCTCCTCAGTCCTTCACACCACACCACACTCCACAGGGGAATGCAGTGTCCTTCTTTCAAGAAACTGAGGCTCAATACTACAGAGTGAGAAGGGAGCAGGTCCTGGGCTCACAGCTATTGACCCCCAGGGACCTGCCAGACAGCCTCACCCTGGGAAAATGAAGACGACACAATGTTCCCCGCACCTGCGTTCATACGGGGCAGGCCAGAAACTAGGTCGCATTTTTCTACCTAGTTTTCTACCTCGTCTTCTCCCTTCCCAGTCCACTCCCAGCTCAAGTAGCTTGGAGGGGCCTCCCAGGTCTCTCATCACCATCTGCACGCTTGGCTCCCCTCCCTCGATGCCCTAAAGTTCATTTCCGGGATACCTGTCCTCATGGCCGTACCAATTAGGTGAGGGTGGCCACCTTTAATATGAACCCATTTTGTAGAACTGTGGCTCTGTGAATTAAGTCACTCACTTGTGAGTGACAGAGCCAGAATTTGAATGCAGGAATTTTGGCTCCAGAGCCTTCACTCTAGGAACTAATGCCCAGAGGTGGTCCTTCTCATCAAATCCCTCCCCTGCTCTAATCCCTTCCTTGGCTCCCCATAACCCTCACCAGGGCTCTCAAAAGGGCTGCACATCACATGGCCTTGAGAGCTTGGTAAGCATCCCCCGGGCCCTCATCTGTGGAGTCAGTGTTGCCAAAGCTGAGGCCCAGAGATATGTATTTTAATGAATCCCTTCCTGTGGGCAGGCTTGATCTCTGACCTGGCTTTGGTGAATGAAAGGACATGGGACTGCCTGGGGAGCTTCTTAGGGCATCGGAGTCCCTTGTGGGGTGGGGAATCAGGAAGGAGGAGGAGAGACAAGGCGGGCCAGAAACTAGGTAGCATTTTTCTCTCTTCCAAGAGGCTAGGCTAGGCAGTGGTTAAGATGATGGGTCTTAGACGGTCTGGCTGGATTCCTGTGTGACATCTGGCAAGCTGCTTACCATGGCTGAGCCCTGGCTCCTTGAGTGTAAGAAGAGGAAATAATAACGGCACTGACCTCACTGGATCTTTGTGGTGACCAGAGGTGCTCCCATACAGCAGGTGCCTGGTATACCGTATGTGCTCAATAAATGCTAGTGTTGGCTTTCTTTCCTCTTTCTTCAAACAAATGCCTTAAAAACACTGGGGATACCCAGTCTGGGCGAGGCTGTGGGGTAGCAGCACTGACCATGTGCAATGGCATGATGCTTGGGGGAACTGTGGCCATAGTGAGAACAGCTAAACATGCGCATGCATGCTGTGCTCCAGCAATTCCGCTCCCTGCTATTTACCCAAAAGAAATAAAGAATAAAAACACATGTCTGGGCAGGGTGGCTCACACCTGTAATCCCAGCACTTTGAGAGGCTGAGGTGTGAGGATCACTTGAGATCAGGAGTTTGAGACCAGTCTAGCCTACATAGCAAAACTCTATATCTCTACTAAACAAAAATTAGCCCAGTGTAGTGGCATGTGCCTGTAATTCCAGCTACTTGGGAGGCCGAGGCAGGAGAATCGCTTGAGCCAGGAGGCGGAGATTGCAGTGAGCTATCGCACCATTGCAATCTGGTCTGGGTGACAGAGCAAGACTCTATCTCAAAAAAGAAAAACGAGAGTGTCCGCAGCAGCTTCATTCATAACAGCCAACACCTGGAAAACGCAGGCGCCTCTGGGCTGGAGAACGAATGAACAAACTGTGGGGATTGGCACAGGGGAGCAGCGCACAGCAGGAAGCAGCAGTCACTGTCTCACGCCATGGGGTCGAGGAAGCCGCACACATAGAGCACACTGCAATTGCGCTTAGTGACCCCCAGGAACACGCTGGACAGCACTGGGTTAGCGGTCAGGACAGTGGTCACCCCCTGGGCAGGCAGTGACTTGGAGGGGACGGACAGTATAGGGCTGTGAGAGGGCTCCATTTGTAAAACTCATCACACTGTATGCTTGTGATCTGTGCCCTCTTCTTGGACATATTTTAGATTTCGATAAAAAGTTTATTTTTAAACAAGGTGTGGTGTGATTGAGTAAGCTGGCCCAGGGCCGAAAGTCATCAGAATGAACATTGTAGGGTGGGGGCTTTAGAGATGATTGAGGTAAACCAGGTAAATGCCATCTTTTTTTTTTTTTTTTTTGAGACAGAGTTTCTCTCTTGTTACCCAGGCTGGAGTGCAATGGCGCGATCTCGGCTCACTGCAACCTCCGCCTCCTGGGTTCAGGCAATTCTCCTGCCTCAGCCTCCCGAGTAGCTGGGATTACAGGCACGTGCCACCATGCCCAGCTAATTTTTTGTATTTTTAGTAGAGACAGGGTTTCACTATGTTGACCGGGATGGTCTCGATCTCTCGACCTCGTGATCCACCCGCCTCGGCCTCCCAAAGTGCTGGGATTACAGGCTTGAGCCACCGCGCCCGGCCGTGCCATCCTTCTTCCCCAGCTCAGCAGGCAGAGGTTCAGGGCTCCGTACAGGAGACAGACCCACAGACTCACAGAGCCGCAGACAGCGACAGCTTGGCATGTCACAGAGTCTGAGAGGGGAAATCCCAGGGGACTGTGGGAGCGCAGAGGTGATACCTCACGCAGCTTGGGGCTCATGAAGGCTTCCTAGAGGAAGGGATGCCTGAGCTGGTGCCGTCAGAAGAGTTGCAAATGAAGGCCAAAGTCTGTAAGTCCATACCGTGGCTTCCAGGGCCTCATCACACAGCGTTGGCCCCAAGTCGCTCACTCCCAAGCACACTGCCCCCTGCTGTTCCTGGAACACCCCCTAGGCCTTTGTGTGGGGATCCCTCTGGTCAGCAGGCCCTTCCCAGACAGCCGTCTGACTCCTTCCCTCTTCTCCTTCAGGTCTAAAGTCACCCTGACTACTCTCTTGAAAACTTTACCCACTCCCCACACTCCTGAGCCCCTTCCCTGCTTTATTTTTGTCATTAGCTTCCAACTTAGTATTTTTCTTTTTTTTTGAGACAGAGTCTTGCTCTGTTGCCTAGGCTGGAGTATAGCGGCACGATCTCGGCTCCTCTGCCTCCCAGGTGCAAACGATTCTTCTGCCTCAGCCTCCTGAGTAGCTGAGCTTACAAGCTTGTGCCACCACACCTGGCTAATTTTTGTATTTTTAGTAGGGGTTTCACCATGTTGGCCAGGCTGGTCTCGAACTCCTGACCTAAGGTGATCCGCCTGCCTCGGCCTCCCAAAGTGCTGGGATTCCAGGCGTGAGCCACCGTGCCCTGCCCTGACATACTGTATTATGTGCTTATTTGTCTCTTGAAGAGCTGTGCTGTCCAATACGTCAGCCAATAGCCACACAAGGCGACGCTTAAAATGCGACAAGTCCAAATCCTGGCGTGCTGTAAGCAGGTTTTGAAAACTTAGTATAAGAAAAAGAAAGTGAACTACCCTGTTCATCATTTTCTGTTGGTTATATGTTAAATGAGAATCTTTTGGATTTGGTAGGGGTAAATAAACTAGAATATTCTCATTAATTTCACCTGTTTCTTGTTACCTTTCAAAAAGTGTGGCTACTAGAAAGTTTTCAATTGCATTGTATTTCCACCGTCAGCTCCTTCGGGGCGGGGACTTTGTGTCTTTTATTTACTTCGACCTCCCCAGCATCGAGCAGATGGTGGGTGCCTCACAAATGCCTGCGGTGGAGTGAATGAATGGATGCATTTCTCGTCGCTGTCATCTGGACCAGCCTCAGAAAGGGGACAAAGCTCTGGAATTCTGTGGATACTGAGCCTTGGGAGGTGGGAGTGGAGTTGATGCCCCTCCCCCAAGTATGCCCAGAGTCCCTGTCTCCAGGTCCAGAGCCCTCTCCAAGTGAGGCCTGGGGTGGGGGGTGGGAGCGTAGAAGACCCAGCAGCTTTAAATCCTCACTTCCTTCCCTCCCTAGGTCTTCACTGGGGAAGGGGCAGGGGAGCCAGGGGCGATTCTGTGCCATAAGCGTGGCTCTTGGGGAGCCTTGGAGGGAGCCCAGTAGGTGGCTGAATGGGTGGGTGGCAGGGCCCCACCTGTCACCGCTGGCTCTGAGGGAGGCGGCCGTCTGTGCAGCCCCCAGGCCTTCACTCCCACTCCTGGGCACTGACCCCTGTCCCCTTACTCTCCTCCAAGAAGGAAGGCTTAGCCCAGGCCCGCGGGGAACACCGCAATTTGCTTCTGACATGACATATTGACGGGTTTCTGGCAGCGGTGGCCCCTTTGTGTCGGCAGAGCTGTGTGGCATATAAGGGCCACCCCTCGGCTTGGGTGGGTGGAGGAACCGACAGGAGCCCGGGAGCCCCCACCTGTCCCTTGTGGAGCTGCAGGAGCAAGGGTAAGGCAGCCTGAGGCACCCCGGGTTCGTCCTGATGCCCGGCATTGACCCCACCACCTTCCATCCTCCCGTATGGATGACGGGCACAGAAAGAACTCGCCCTAGGAGGACACCGTGGGTACCAAGAGGGTGGACAAAGAGAAAACCGTATGACAGATGTGGGACCCAGAGACTTGTATACATTTACAGCAGGAGGGTGGGCTGGGGCTCCCTGTCCATAGGATGACCCTAGGGAGGGGGTTCCTGGGGGGCCCATTTTTCTCTTGGTGAGTCACATGGTGCTGAATTTATCCCCCGCTCCCACAGCAGACACCTCTTCTGTCACACAACCATGCACAGAGACCCTAGACACGATCCCTGCCTTCCTGGAGCTTACAGGGAAGAGAAATGAGAAGGATAAACAGATGCATAATTGCAAATGGAGATCAGCACCTTAGAGTAAATATCCTGGGTGATGTTTAGTGACAGACGGATTTCTTTAGACAAAGTGAAGGAGGGAGGACTCTCCAGGGAAGCAACGCTAATCCGGAACCTGAATGATAAGGAGTCACCCATGCAAAGAACGGGGGAGGAGCCTTCCTAACAAGGAACCGCCTGTGCAAAGGCCCTGGGGTGGGAAGGGGCCCGGCCTGCTTAAGGTCAAGGAGGTCAAAGAGGCAGGCAGGGATTTTGTGGGTAATGGCAAGAAGCTTGGGTTCCGCCCCAGGGCAGTGGGGAGCCAGTGAAGGGTTTAAGCAGGAGTGACGGGTGGGCATAGATGGATATGTGATTGGGTGGGCAAATAGGAAACTCCTTAAAGAAAAATCCCACTCTCTGAACTTAGCAGATTAGCCATGCCTCCACTTCCCATCCGTTTCCCTTTTCAACAAGATTTGGGGGGCGGTTGAGGAAGGAGAAAGACAGGACGCGTTGTCTAAGTGTTGGGTGTCCCCAGTCAGCTAGACCCTTCTGAAACAGCTTCATGAGCCAGTAGGAGGCAGGTCCCGGAAACAGAGCTCCCATCCTGCTGTCCTGGATGGCAAGCCCCTCTGTCTACAGCTGTCACTTCGGGCACCCAGCCAGGCTCACTGGGCCACTGAGAACTCCGACTTTTAAGTCAGACGCACTCAGGCTTGAATTCTGACTGTCGCTGACTAGTTCTGTGGCATCAGTCTAGTCCCCTGCCCCTTTCAATCTCAGTTTTCCCATCTGAGGAACGGAACCCAGGGAGGGAGAGGCTTGGAAAGAGCCTTGGAGACGAGCTCATTGGCAGCCGCACCGCGCCACCTGCGTGTTAGCCCTGCTTGCATTTGGGAGGAGGCTTTCCTGGGAGTGAAGCTGGATTTGGGCTGTGCCAGGTGGGCAGGGAGGGGGAAGGGTGTTGATGGGAACAGAGAGGGGGAACGCTTGGGCAGGAGGAGTGTCTCAGAGTTCTCCTTCTGCCTCTTATATGTTTGCAGCCAGCCATGCTGGGCCTGTGGTCCCTGCTTCTGTTCTGGGGCCTGGTGACTCCATGCCAGGGGCTGCTGGAGACGGTGGGCACGCTCGCTCGAATTGACAAGGATGAGCTCGGCAAAGGTGAGCCCCAGGTGGGCAGTCTGTGAGGGGACCGCTGCAATGTTAACGACTCAGTCTACAGGCTTAGCGCGTCTGCTTTAAGAGCAGATAAGAGCAGCCTGTGAATCCCAGCTGCTTAGAGAGCACGTTCACCTGGGAGCAGCTGTGCAAGAGTGGAAGGTTCCCTCGCAGGCCTGAACGGGTGATGAATTCCCTCTCCTGGGAGGTGGACTGGCTTGATAAGGGCTGAGGCTGTGTGGGGACTTTGTGTGGCTCAGGGACAGGGACAGGAGGAGGTTGAGGAGGTCAAGAAGAGGGTGCTAGCTGGGCCAGTGTCACCGCCTCACACCACTAGGGTAGGAGAACTCTACTTGGCATTTGGTACTACAGAGCCCAGTGGCTCGTGGTGACAGTCTCGGGAATGGAGTAGATGGGTCATGCACAGGAAATCTTCAGGGAGGCCCCTGGCCTGCCCCGACTTCCACAGGGCTGTTCCTCCATCCTGCCCTTCGCACAGTCTGCAGAGTCAGGCCTGGAATGCCCAAGAGAGAAGCAGGAGCCATCTCCTCCAGCTTGATCGAGCCTGGTGGCTACAAGCTCCCCCTTCTTTGCCTTCCCTTTCAGTGCTACGGGATCAGGAGCCAAGTTACACTATTGGCCCCAACCCAATTTGCTGTGTGACTTTGGGCAAGTCTCTGCCCCTCTCTGAGCCTTCGTTCCCCCCCCCACCATCCCGGCAAAATGAAGGGATCGTCATGAGATTTGTTCATTCATTCTACAAACGCTTACCACATACCTCCCATGTGTGCCAGGCAGGGAGGGTGGCACAGGCCCTGCGGGAGGAGTAAGAGGCTGTTATGGCTTAGTGGGTTCCACCGTTTGAGTGTAACCTCTGGGTTAATTCCATTTTAAAAAAGAAACCTACTCAATCTCAGAGGAAGGAGGCAGCTGCCAAGGTCCTGGGGATAAGGTTGGAGTTTCTAGAACCTCCCTGCTTCCACTCTCTCTGCAGCCATCCAGAACTCACTGGTCGGGGGGCCTATTCTGCAGAATGTGCTGGGATCTGTCACAGCCGTGAACCAGGGCCTCCTGGGCTCAGGAGGGCTGCTTGGAGGAGGTGGCTTGCTGGGCCAGGGAGGGATTTTTGGCGTTGTCGAGAAGCTCTCTGGGTGAGTCCCCTCATGGGGGGTCCTTTTGACTGCCCACCAGCTGCATGTGCACAGGAAGACTTGGCTCTGGGTCTGGGAGTGGAGGAGAGATTGGCTCTTTTTGTCTGACAGGCAGAGAGGGTGGTGTGGGAGGCTGGCGATCGTGGTCTAAAAATGATGACTCTACTGCATGCCTGGCAGGACAAGAATGGCAGAATGCCATGGTGGCTGAGCGCTCTCAACACTGGTTACTCACTGTGTGACCTTGGGCAAGTTGCTTAGTCTCTCTGGGCTAATCTAGCTATCTGCATGGCTCCCTCTCTCACCTTTCCCGGGTGTCCGTTCAAAAGAGGTCTGCCCCGATTAGCCCTTTCTTATCCCTGCCATACCTTTTACGGGTTTGTTTTTTGTCTCCTTTGCTAGATTATACACCCCAGGAGGGTAAGATTGTTGTTTGGCTTGTTCACTGCTGTGTCCCCAGGATCATAAATAGGGACACAGTGGATGCTCAAAAAGTATTGTTTGTTTGCTTGTTGTTTTGAGACAGTGTCTCACTCTGTCCCCCGGGCTGGAGTGCAGTGGTGCGATCTCGGCTCACTGCAACCTCTGCCTCCTGGGTTTAATCGATTCTCCTGCCTCAGCCTCCCGAGTAGCTGGGATTACAGGCACCCACCACCATGCTGGGCTAATTTTTATAGTTTCAGTAGAGATGGGGGTTACATCATGTTGGCCAGGGTGGTCTTGAACTCCTGACCTTAGGTGATCTGCCTGCCTCAGCCTCCGAAAGCGCTGGGATTACAGGCATAAGCCACTGCACCTGGCCTCAAACAATAGTTTTGAATAGATGAATGAAGAGCATCACATTAAGCTAATACATATTGACTCAATGACCACCTGTTCAGGGTTTTCTGTGTGTCTGGCCCGTGCATTGGAAATGAATGATCTCACTGAGCCCAGAGGTAGGACTATTATAAGCTACATTCACATGTCGGGAGACAGAGGCTCCCGGCCGTGAAGTGACCCGCCCAAGCACACCCAGCTAGAGGAGGAGAGGGGAATGTGTCTGTGTGTTTCATCACAGCCCATGCTGCCTGGCCCAGTCTAGCGGAAACCAGTCTATGGCTGGCAGGCAAATTAGGGGGAGGTCAAACGACAGGGCCCAGGGAAGGCTGGAGCCCAGCATAGGGAGCACAGTCACTGGACAGGAGGCAGTGGAGTGCCGGGAGAAGAAGGGCAGACGGGTGTTCACTTCCCCAATCAGAACATGGTGTCTGGAAGGCGGGCTGGTAAATCCTGCTGCTGCTGGAGGTTCACTATGTGTCATTCTGCGGTCAGTGTTGTCAACGTCCCTATTTTACAGATGGGGAAACTGAGGCACAGAGCAGCAATCCAGTCAGTTAGTGGCAGAGCTGGGGTTTGAACCATCTGCCTTTTACTGGCTGCAGTATTAGCAGCTACTCATGGGGCGGTTGCCAGGACAGTGAGTTAATCCGTGGCAAGCGGCTGAAATAGAGCCAGGCACACGGTAAGTGTTGGATAGATACTATTATCAGTAATACAATCTTCTCTCTCCCTCCACTGTGAAGTTCCCCCTTCTCAGTGACGGTGGAGTCTCAGACATGAATCTGGCATTGTCCATGCCTTGAAGAGCCCCTCACAGGTGGTAGAACCCGACAGCGAAGGTCCCATGAACTCAGGGCAGTGATGGAGGTGGCCCAGGCAGGGTGGGACAGCCGCTTAGAGGACATCTGCCCAAGGCAGAAATCCGGGATGGAAAGCTTGTTGGAGGAGTGGATGTGGACTGGGACTGGACTCAACAAGCTAAAGAGGGGTGCAGCGTGGAAGGGGGTTCCAGACAGAGGGAATGGCCTGGGCAAAGACCCAGAGGACAGACAGAGTAATGACTTGTGAGGAGCTGTGCTTGAGAACCCCCCTGCGCTTCATTTGTGTGAGTGTGTGGGGTGTAGCAGGGGGCTACGTCACGGCCAGAAACCAAACCAGGGCTGAGACTGTGGGGACAGGGTGGGGAGAAACTTTAATTCCTTGAGCCTCCAGAGGGGAGGATGATAGGACATTTGGTGAGCACACACTGTTCCAGGCTCTGCACTGGAATTATCTCACTTGTCTTTGCAGCACCCCTGTGAGGTAGGAACTAGTATGGCCCCACTTTACAGATAAGAAAACTGAGGCCCAGAGAGGTGAAGTATTAGCAGCGAGGCCAAGGGCTCGCAGTTGGCTCTGTGGGTTTGAGATGAGATGGGGACACTACCAAGAGCCACTTTGGACACCTCCTGGTCTGGGATGGTGCAGGCACTGGGGATGCCTGGGAGTGAGCAACCCTCTCCCTGACTCCCATCCCAGTCTGAAGATTGAGGAGCTCACGCTGCCGAAGGTGTCGCTGAAGCTGCTGCCGGGGTTTGGGGTGCAGCTGAACCTGCACACCAAAGTGGGCATGCATTGCTCTGGGTGAGTGTGTCCTGGGACCTCTACCCTCCTACTTCGAATCCCACCCCTGCCCTCCTGGAGACTCCTACCCTGCTGTGCCCCCACTCCCACCCCTTTGAACCCCCCATTTCCTTTCACCCTACTTCCTTCCTAAGGGACTCCCAATCCTACTGTTTCCCCCTGGATTCCATGCCATTACCCTTCCCCGGGGACTTCCGTTTGGCTCTTCCGCCAGTCCCAGACCCCACTGCCCAGGCTCACCGGAGAGGGCGGGGGAAGAGGATTCAGGGAAATGCAAACTGAGGCAGGGGGGCAAATGCAAAATGAGGCTGAGAAGAGGCCACTTGCAGGGTCACCCCACCCGCCTCTGCTCAGGACCCATCCAACCCTGGTGGGTGGGGCCTGGCCGCCTGGCCATGCCCCCAGGGTCCTTTCTTGCAGCCCCCTTGGGGGCCTCCTGCAGCTGGCGGCGGAGGTGAACGTGTCGTCGCGGGTGGCGCTGGGCATGAGCTCGCGGGGCACGCCCATCCTTACCCTCAAGCGCTGCAGCGCGCTCCTGGGCCATATCAGCCTGTTCTCAGGGTGAGTCCACAGGCTCCAGCCTGCAACCCTGACCTGCTCGGGATCGTTTCGCACGCATCTGAGTGTCTCCCGGGTCTCCCTGGAGTTGCCAGCTGCGTGGGCCTGAATTCATCCCACCCCCGCCTGCCCCTCCGGGTTCAACCTGCTGTGCAGAACGACAGACTGAGCCCCACCCCGACAGGGACTCCGGCTCAATCCACAGCTTGCAGCCACCCACTCCTGGGCATTCCCCTAGTCTGATTGCCCGGATCCTGCCATCCCCTCTCTCCCAGATAGAGTGAGCTCAGGGTCAGCTGGGGTCCCTCCATCTGCGGGATTTCAGCCCCTGCTCTCGGCACATGAGAGACTCAACTCTGCCTCAGATTTGCTGTGTGACCTCATGGAGACCCACTGCCCATTCTGGGCCCTAGTGCCCCCACCTGTATATGTGCAGCTGGACGTGATGATTTGGAAGGCGCTATGACCTCAGTCTCTCCCCAGGGGCTGTCCAGGTGGCACTCCCTACACCTCGTTGAATCATCACTTTTTTTTTTTTTTTTTTTTGAGATGGAGCCTTGCTCTATTGCCCAGGCTAGAGTGCAGTGGTATGATCTCGGCTCACTGCAAACTTCACCTCCCAGATTCAAGCAATTCTTCTGCCTCAGCCTCCCCAGTAGCTGGTATTACAGGTGCCCACCACCACGCTAATTTTTGTATTTTTAGTAGAGATGGGGTTTCACTGTGTTGGCCAAGCTGGTCTTGAACTCCTGACCTCAAGTGATCCTCCCTCCTCGGCCTCCCAAAGTGCTGGGATTACAGGCATGAGTACCATGCCTGGCCTCTGAATCATCACTTTCATGGGACCATGGAGGCCCAGAGGTCTCCTCACCCAAGATCACACGCACCGATCCGGCAGGGATGGAGAAGGGCTGCTCTCTGCCCGCACTCCGAGCCTGCCCCTGGCTGCCGCCCACCTGCCAGGCCCAGTCCCAGCCCCTGCCCCATCTTTGGTGGGTAACTCTGAGCAGTGGAGGCGTCATCAGGCAGCTCCGTGTTAGCTCCCAGGAACAGGGTGACCGGCTTGCCCCTAACTCCAGGAGGGCCCTAAGAACGGGATTCCATGCAAGGGCTTTGGGCTCCTTCAATTCCAGCGGTTTCATCCTGTTCCTCGTGGATGGAGGGGCCCTGGGGAGGAGTGGAGCCCACGATGGTATTGGTGTCCTGTGGTTGGGGCTCTGTGGTTGCCACTCTGCACCCCCATGGTCTCCAAGGAGACCTGAGCCCATCTACATGCATTCATCCTCAGCCTATCATTCATTCATTCATTCTTCATTCACCTAAGAAATACTTGTTGAACCCCCACTCTGGGGGCCCAATAACAACCATTGTTCTGGGCCTAAATGTCTCTTACCTACAAATGTTGGGGGGACAAAGGAGGCAGACACTTAGCGAGCATGGATCGTATACCGGCCACACACACTCCCGTATCACCTGGACAGCAGTAACTCTCTAAGGTGGGCATTGTACAGTCGGAGAAAATGAAGCCGTCCCCTTGGGTGCCCTGGGGAGGTAGAGCCAGGATTTAACTCAGATCTCCAAAGCCCCAGCCAATTCCACCCCTAAGAGAAGCGACAGGAGGAATCCAGAGCCCCCAGAGCCCCCTACCGGCCCTGTCATCCGGGTGGAGCCGTCCTGCCTAGCTGCTGCACCCACTCGTGTCTCTCTCTGCTCAGGCTGCTGCCCGCACCGCTCTTTGGGGTCGTGGAACAGACACTCTTCAAGGTGCTTCCGGGACTGGTGAGTGCGGGGGCCATGGGCCAGCACGCCCTCCCCTGGCCCCGGCCTCTTTCCCTGTGGGGTTTTGGGTAAAGTTGGGTGCCAGGCGGGATTAGGCTGTACTTCCCTTCCACGCCCACCAGGTAATCCCATCCGGGCCTACTGGACGTGCCTGCAGGTCTGGGGGCGGCTGACATAATCCTTTCAGACCCTCAAGCCCGAGTGAGCGGTTCCAGGAGGCCTGGGTCCCCTGCTCCCAAATCGGAGGCTCTTTCTTACCCCCTGCTCTGTTTCTGCCATTCGTCTTAGTACTGACTTCATGTTTTCCTTTAAACCACCACTTAATGGTTTTAAACTGAGCCCTGCACTCGGCAATCATGTCTAGGAAAACATGTACATCTATTCATACATCATAATTCAACACATTAAGATTAAAGGATGCCTCTCCATGGCCTGCCCCAGACCATCCTGGCTTCCACACTCGAGAGCTGCTCTGGCCCAAGCCCCATGTCACCGAGGGAGAGGGGAGGGCCACACAGACAGCGAAGGGCAGTCAGGCCTCCTGACCCCCCGGCCTGGCTGGCTCTCCCTTGTACGTTCTTGTGAACGTGCGTGGGGGTGGCAAAGGAATGGGAAGCTGGGCTTGGCAAAACTGCCCTGGGCTTGAGGAAGCCAATTTGAAAGAGAGGCTTAGCAGGAGGAGGGGCCCCTAGGCAGGACCGTGGCAGGCAGCTTTCCACCAGGGGATGAGGGTGCATTTCAATTGCAGCCCCTAACTTAGCCTCTAGGGCAATTGGCCAACAGCTAGTTTTGTGTGACACAAAGAGGTTTTTAAAATGAGCCTTCATTGCCAGCATTCAGAGATTGAATTCTCGGAACAGTCCAGATTTCTGGTTTCTGTTGTGCAATTAACCCCCCTGGCTGCCTGATACCTCCCTCCTGCAAGAGGAAAGTACCGCTGGTCCCTCCCAGCTGGTGCCCTGGGGGTTTGCTTTCTCCAGCCCCAGCACAGCCCCTCTGGTCTCCTCCTCTCATTTCTGTGACTTGCCTGACCCCAGAAGCCCTGGAGTTTGGGGCCCCTCACTTGACATGCAACAGCCCTCTTTTGTCTCTCTGCAAACAGCTGTGACTTGGGACAGGTCACCTTCTCTGGTCTCAGCTGGAGAATGAAGGGGCTGGAGTGGACCCTCTCTGAGGTTTCCGCTCCGGTGAGTTATGGGACTCAGGTTCTGTGGGTCCCAGACTCGGATTCCCAAAGTCGAACCACTTGCTCCCTGTTCTCATAGCACAGGGGTTAGGAGTGAACAGGTGGTGATAGGCCAGCCGGACGCCCCACATCCAGGCCTCACTCTCTAGGTGGAGGAGAGGAGGTGCCCCTCTGTGGGGTCTTGATCCTAGGCTTCCAGTGCCCACCAGGGGTGGCAGGGGATGGCCTGTGACTTCGTAGGGAACCAAAGCCGCTTCTGCCTCCGCGGGGGAAGGCCCTGTCCACATGCCCAAACCAGCCTCTGGAATGTGTCTCCCCCGGTCCCCAAGCCACCTTTGGGGGTTTTCTAATGGGGCTCTTGTAACCAAGGGAGGCCAGCTTGCAGGCCCACTCAAACCTGTGGCACCTCAAGCTCCAGCCCCTCCCCTGCCTCCCACCTGTGCCCCTGTTTCCGCCTTCTGCCTTGCCTTGCTCCCCAGCACCACATAGCTCCATAAAGCATTTAAAGAATATGCAGCTGTCCCCGAAGCCAGCTCTTCTTTGTCCTATAACATTCGTCTCCCTGACACAGCTGTGCCCTGTGGTAGATAGTGTGCTGAGCGTGGTGAATGAGCTCCTGGGGGCTGTGCTGGGTAAGTCAGGGTTCCATGCCCTTCTCTTTGCCCCTTCTACCCCTCCTTGTATGACCCCAGTGGGGCAGGGTACTAAGGTGAGCTGGAAGGGGCAGGATCCTGGGGTCTTCCAGTTCCTCCTCACACTGACCGGCTTTGAGGAGCCTCACGGAGGAGGCCTGGGCCGAGGCCACCTAGCGGGGCATGCTGGCCCAGGGTGATCAGTTCTCTCCATGTTGGGAGCTGCAGATCAGCATTTATTGAGCACCCAGGGTGCACTTGGCACCGTCAGAAATGGGGAATGTTGGAAACAGTTGCTCAGTGCTGCAAAGAAAAATCAGTCCCGAGACAAAGGATCTTTCAGCAAGGTAATTTTACTTTCTGCAGAAAGGTGCTCCTGTTAGCTGTCTTGCTACAAGAGTACAACGAACAAAGGAAAAGCAGACGTATTTATCTTTTTACGCATCTGGGGTCGGCTTCACTGCTGTGTCTGACCTCCATTGGTTGGAGCTAGACCTCACATTCTAAACTAAAACTAACAACTTAAAACTTTTTTGGCTAACAACGTAAAACTTTTTTTGCGTAGGTAAAAGTAATGCAGAACAAAAAGGAGATCCAAATAAGGAAGGGGCTATAGGAAGTTGCTTTCGAAAGGACTTAGAAAAGTAATAACATAAATATCTTTGTTAAAGCCCAGGGACGTAGAACGTACTTATTCCTTTATATCTAACTGCTGCGTAGGATAGGGCTTAACAAAGAGTCGCTAGTAAAAAAGCAAGAAGGCTTTGAAGAAAGTTAATCTTTAAGAGAGACGATTTTTTTTTAACATTTATTATGATTATTCTTTAACAAGAAAGGAAACTTTGAAGAGGAACTTTTCTACTTTCTACAGGGAAGATGTGGTTATTACCTGATCAGACTAGCTGACCAAGGCCCGGGGAGCTCAAGTAAGGAAACCAAGGCCCCCCGGCCACCGCAGACCCCCGTCTCTGCGCCTTATGGAGACACGGGTGCCTTTCGTGTTCATACAATGGGTTTGGGAAAATACAAAAAGGCCCAACCAGGAAAATAACAGAAACTTGGCCTGGTGTGTCTCTGGATGTGGCATTATGTAAGAAAGGCAGGGCAGCAGGGTGTTGGCGGCACCGGCCCTGGAGAACAGGAATCCTGGTTTTGAACGCTGTGACTGTGTGGCCTTGTTCTGGTGACTTCCCCTGTCTGAGCCTCAATTTCCACATCCATAAAATGGGGATGACAGTAGCAGCCAAGCGAATGCCTAGTAGAGTGCCAGGCATTCAGCAGGCGCTCAATCCATGGAAATAGGGGTGACTATGCCTGGGAACTGGGCTGATGGGGTTGCTCTCGACCCTCCTTTTCCCATGCAGGCCTGGTGCCCCTTGGGGCTCTCGGGTCCCTGGAATTCTCTCTGGCCACACTGCCTATCATCTCCAACCAGTACATAGAACTGGACATCAATGTGAGTGACCAGCGGGGCCTCTCCTGTGGCTGGAGGTGGCTAGAGAGGGGCTGCTGGGTCACGGCGGGGGGGGGTGAACACCTCAAGACCCTCCTCAGCCCTGTTTCCTGCCCCTGTAGCCTATCGTGAAGAGTGTAGCTGGTGACATCATTGACTTACCCAAGCCCCCGGCCCCAGCCAAGGTGCCCCCCAAGGAGGACCACACATCCCAGGTGGTAGTGCCCCTGTACCTCTTCAACACCGTGTTTGAACTCCTGCAGACCAGCGGCGCCCTCGACATGGACATCACCCCTGAGCTGGTGAGTGTGGCGCCTGGGGGAGCTGGGAGGAAGACTCCCTGCCCTGCTGTGCCTTGGCATTGCTAGTGCTGACCTGGGCACTGATCAGCCTTGCTGAGCCCTCTTCGCTATAATAAAAGGGAGTTGAACAAGTTAGAGCGTGCACTCCGCTGCTGTCCACTCCCGTGCTTGGGGGAGACATTGCTGATCAATCGTGGCCCTCTACCTGATTCAACCAGGCTGGGACCTCTGAATCCTTCTCAGCTTGGCACTCCAGGAGGTCACTTTCAATGTGTTAGGACTGGCACATGGAGTGAAGCCCACTTTCCATCCCTGCATCAGATGAGCCTTTCTAGAGTCTAAGCCCAATTTCCCACTGAAGTATGAACTGCTAACGTTTCCACTGTTTTCTCAAGAGCAGATTTGAATGAGAGAAAAGAGAACTAGGAAGGGTGGCTCATGCCTGTAATACCAGCACTTTGGGAGGCTGATGTGGGAGGATCACTTGAGCCCAGGAGACACCCCATCTCTACAAAAAAATACAAAATTAGCCAGCCATGATGGTGCATGCCTGTGGTCCCAGTTACTTGGGAGGCTGAGGTGGGAGGATCATGTGAGACCAGGTCAAAGCTGAAGTGAGCTGTGATTGTGCCACTGCACTCCAGCCTGGGCCACAGAGTGAGACCTTGTCTCAAAAAGAAAGAAAGAGACAGAGAAAGAAAGAGAGAGAAAGGCAGGAAGGAAGGAAGGAAGGATGGAAGGAAAACTATGGGGGGATTGTACTAAGTCCCCTGATTCTGAAGCTTCTAGTACCTCCCAACTTTTATTCTGTCCATTCTGGCCCCTCTCACATCCTGGAAAATCCTGACCCCAGAAGCCCCATCCAGAGGCATTTATCTTGGTCTCAGCTTGGGCTCCCCACCTATAGCTCAGGCCCAAGGAAGCAGGGGTTGGTCACGAACTTCTTGCAAGTGGGGTCCAGACAGCACTCTGAAGGCCTCTGGGAGGCTGGAACAGGACCCTGAACTGGGGGGAGGATGTCTTCCAGCTGGGGGATGGGAGCAGTCATAGCCAGGCAGAGACTCAGTATAAGAACGTGCATGTCTGAGCGGCCTGTGGACGTGGGTGTGTGTATGGGGCATTGGGTGTGTGCATATGAGCATCATGGCAAGAGAGGCACGTCAGAGGCCTCATCCTGGTGCTATATGCATGCTTATCCCGTGTGACCAGGGCAGTTCTGAGAAGTGGCCATGTGTAGCTTGGGGGATCTCAAACATCAGGGCCCCCAGAGGCTGGGTCATCATCGATTAGCAGCCTGATGAGACTATCGTGAACTGGGGACCCTGTGCCCTACTTCTCAGGCAGTTGCTACTCAGTCACCGCAAGGGGAGAGGGTACAGACGCAGGGTGACTAGATTTTCAAACTTTTTGGTCAGAAGCTGAAAAATTGACATACAACTTCCTGTTTCATAAATACTAGAAACAAATTCACAGTTTTTGAAAATACTGTTTGGGTCAAAGGCAAAAAGTCTGGGGTCAGATCTCTGGGCCTTCAGATCATGAGCCCTGGCAGAGTGAGTAAAAGGTTCTGAAGTTAGCCTGCCGGGGTTCAAATCCTGGTGTCACTCCTTACCAATTGTGTGACCCTTGGCGAGAGCCTCAGTGCCTGCATCTGTCAAATGGGGCGATGGCGGCACCTATCTCTTTGAGCTGTTTTAAAAGGGGAAATGAGCAAAGGCGTGCAAAGCCCCTAGCATCTGCCGGGCATGCGGTAAGTGCTCAGTCGTTGCTAGCTGAGAACAAACTTGGGTGTTCGTAGTGTTATGTGTATGAAATTGGCAGGGTTGTGGGGAAGAATGGTGAACAAAACTGCTGTGTGTGTGCTGAGGAATTCCCGTTCTGTCTCTGTGTTCACCGACCCTCTCCCCACTTGGGGGGTCCAGGTTCCCAGCGATGTCTCACTGACAACTACAGACCTGGCGGCTCTGCTCCCTGAGGTGAGTGACCCTCTCATGGGTTTTGATCACTGTAGCGCTTTCCTGATGATCATGAATGGACTTCAGAACCTTTCTCAATACAGCTCTCCAGGCAACTGCAATTGAACAGTTGAGTCCGAAATTTACACTAGAGTGTGAATGACTAACATGGTATCCTTTCCTGAGAGCAGATTTTTCTTAGAGAGTGAAGGATTAGGGTTTGACTGCCCCAGAAGTCAACTGGGCATTTATCCTACGGAAACGGTTTCGCTAGCACACAAGGACAAATTTCTTTTCGGGTTATAGAGCTCTCTTCCTCCAACTGCCTTACTTCATCTTGACCTTAGCCTTCAATGTCCCCAGAGAAAATACTCAGGGCACTGGTCTGGGAGAGGAAAGAAAAGGGAGAGGGTCAGGGAGGTCTGACTAGCGGACATGAGTACGTACGTGACCTTCAAGGCCTGGCCTCAGCTGGGGCTGGACCAGCCACTTTCCAGCTGTGAGAATCTGAATTTGTCCTGAAGTAAAACGTCTACTGCAAGATCCTTACCTAACAGCAGATTCGGATAAAGGTTGGAAGGAGGGCTGGCGACCTGGGCTCTCACCAGAGAGGACAGAAGTGGCAGCTGAGTTTGGGGACACAGAGGACAAACTCTGTGAGTCCTTGAAGGTGGCGAGTCAGAGCGGCCTTGATGAATGAAACGGGGGCCTCGGCTTTCCAGAGCCCCTTGGCTAAAGGGCATAAGAGTCTCACGGAAGGGATTCCAGTGGAGTCAGACATTCAGAAGAACCTCCGGAGAGAGGAAGTGGAGAGGGACACGGGGCAAGCAGAGATGACTGAGGCAGGGGTGTCCAGACCCAGCCAGCTGGGCCGGCCCCTCCAGCACGGGGAGGCTGGGCTTGTCTCTGGAGGCTGAATCCTTTGGTCTCCATTTGTGGCCTCGCAGCTTCAGAGCCCCATGTGGCTTCAGATTCTGTGGCATGTGAGGGTGGAATCAGGTGATTCCTGGTCCTGATGATCCTGCCACTTGGAGATTCTGGGCTTGAGGAAGCCTAGACTCAAATTCCAGCGGGCGAGTGTCCCAAGGAACATAATGATGTGTTCCAGGCTTCTGTCATTTCCTTAGTTCCATGACGTCGAAATGATGAGACGCAGAATTTCCTGACTGTGGACTCATTTAGGCAGTCGGCTAATACCCGCTGAGCACCTACTGTGTAACAGGCCCCGCAGTGGAACAAAGACACCCCTGCGGCCGGGGCTGCACCAAGGGCAAACACTGAAGGGAGACAGAAGCTTCTGCACTCGAGGGGTGGCCATTCCGGTGGGGTGACACACACTGCAGAAATAAACAAGAATGGAAACACTGTCAGGAGGTGGAAGAGAATGGAGGTGCGAAGGCTTAGGAGCGCTGGCTAGGGCTTTTAGACAGGCTGCTCTGCAAGGCCTCACTGAGGAGGTCACATCTGAGTGAAGGAGGTGAGTGAGGGAACTTTGCGGTTCTCTGGGAAGATATTTCCAGGCAGAGGGAGCAGCAGGTGCAAAGGCCCTGGGCCCTGCCAGGAGCATCCCTGGCAGCTGGAGGAGCAGCCACGTGGCTGGTGAGTCTGGAGGGAGCATGCAGAGCAGCAGTGGGAGGGGAGGAGGTGCCGTGGAGGGCGGGCAGGGGACGGTGGACACAGAGCCTGTGGCCCTGGGGAGGATTCTGAATGCATGACACAGGAAGTGTGGTTTGGCGATCCCGCGGGTGGGTGTCTCACACCTGAGTGTCAGCCTCGTGGGGGCTGAGACCAGGCCTGCATGGTTCAGGCTGTAACTTCATTACCAGCACATGGACCGGTGCCTGGTAGGTGCTCAGTGAGTGTTTGCTGACTGACTGACTGACTGTAGCTGGGGGCATCTAAGCTCCGCCCCTGCATCGCTCTAGGCCCTGGGGAAGCTGCCCCCGCACCAGCACCTCCTGCTCTCCCTGCGCGTGAAGGAAGCTCCCGTGGTCACGCTCCATGACAAGAAGGCCTTGGTCTTCATCCCAGCCAGCATCCACGTGCTGTTCAGTGTCCCTCAGGGGACCCCTGAATCCCTCTTTGAGCTGGACGGGGTGAGTGGTCAAGGGGTGGGTGAGGGCCCGGGATTGGAGTTCCAGATGGGCTGACCAGCTCCGGGACCGTGGAGGTACCTTCCCCCGACTGCAGGGTCGGAGCCCCACATAGCCCAGCACGGGAAGCATCCTCAACCATTGTCGTCATTTGGGCTGAGCCCTGAGCCCTGCCTTGGCTCCTGCCTGGCCCCTCCCTCCTGTCCGGCCTGCCCATGTTGCTTCCTGGGGACCTCAGGCATCGCTCCTCGACTGGGCAGCCTCTGTCTGCCTAGCTGTCTCCCTGACGACCCTCCAGCTTCCTCTGACCCTCCCCCTCCAGCCGGCTTCCTCCATCCTACCTCTTATGCATCTGGACCGCGGCAGGCCCCTCCCCTGGCCCTCTGCCCTGGCTCCCCATGGTCAAATACCTGACCTGACACTCGCTGCCCTCCCGTCCCTTCCTCGTCTCGCCTGTCCTGGCCCCCTGAGCCTCAGCTACTGAAGCCTACCGGATCCTACCTCCCTGGTTAAGTCCGTGCTGGGTCCATCACCCGGAGTGCCATTTCCTCCTTCCCTCCACTCACTCCTCACCTTTCAAGATTCAGCTGTCACTCACTGGGGACGCCTTCCTTCACCGCGCTGCAGTCAGGCTCCTGCAGCCCCAGACCTTCCTCTCCTTCAATACCAATTGCTCTCAATTTTAATACTGTGGTTCTCTGCTGTTCAAGAGAACAGCAGAACCTTCAAATCACCTCCCTAGACCCCAGCACGGACCCTGGCACACAGTAGGGCCTCAGTAAGGGTCAGTGGAGGGAACAGATGGAAGAGAGTCACCTGCCAGTGGAGGCAAACCCGTCCTCAAGCTCCTTCTGCTGACTGGGAGTGACCTCTGCCTGCTTTGCCCATGCAGGTTATGACTCTGCGTGCCCAGCTGGCTCCCTCGGCTACCAAGCTGCGTATCCTCCCTGTCCCTGGAACGGTAACTTGGGAACTTGGGGACAAGATCTTGTTCGTGGCTTTAGGAACAAGAATTAGGGGCTGACAGGATCTGCCTCCTGTTTCTTCAGCATCAACCAAGTTCCAGGTGTCTTCCCCAGCAACCTCTTGCCTTCAGGACCTGCCAGGGAGGAGACAGTGTTAGCCCACGTTATAGACAAGGAGCCGGGGGCTCAGAGCAGCAGGCTCCAGAGTGGGGTTCTGCCGCAGCACCCCCTTTGCTGCTGAAAACCTGTCTCTGGGAGATAAATCTGCCGCCAGGACGTGGAGTCCAAACTCCTGAGCTAGCAGCCCCAGAGGCTAACCAAGAAACAACCGGCCTTGAGTGGGAGCCCCACTCAAGTGTGTTATTATTCATGCAAACGCGTTACTTCTCCACTCTCCCCAGCCCCATGGTGGCTAGGCATCCGTCGTGATAATCATAATGACTAAGATGATGGTGTTGATGACAGTCCTTCCGTCTACATGCACAGCACTTTCCAGTTTGCAGGAGCACTGTGCTGGCCCAGGCTCACATGGTGGGCTGTCCCTGGAGCAGGCGTGTAGTCTGGGGCTCGGCTCTCCAGGCACAGTGCTGTCACCTGGTGGGGCCCGGGCCTGTCTGTCCCTCCCCTGGCAGCAGGGGCTTTTCTGGAGGATCGCTGGGACCTGCCTGTCCTGCATCACAGGCACCCAGTGCTCCTGTGACCCCATCTCAGCACCCCCACAAGCTCCTCAGGCTACTCCTGCCCCCTGCCTTCCACTGTTGCCCCATTGCTGACCTTAAGAGAGGGCCTTGCCTGCTGCCTGGGTGCGCCTCCACTTCCTGATGGCAGGTCACACCTCAGCCTTTTAGGAGGTAGAGATGCGTGCCCAGGCTTTGGCCCCGAATCTGCCCTTGGGCCAGATTTGATCCACCAGTGGGTTGCTGCCTTGAGTGAGCACCTGCTGTATGCAAGGCATGCTGTGTCCAGTGCTCAGTCTGGGGGAGGGTCACTCCTCCGAATGTTTCAGCCACCTGCCCAGGGTCAAATAGCTGGGAGTCAGCGAAGGTGCCAAGGCCATGGAGTCAGAGGTGGTGGTGGTCACGATGCCTCAGAAGGGAAGTTAGGTCCCTTTGGGTCCATTTTACAGGTAAGAAAACCGTCTCTGAGTCAAGGCTGGAGGCAGAGTTGGGCCTGTAACCTGTTTCCTGATCCTGAGGGCTATCGTGGGGCAGGCTGGGGGCTGGGACAGGTGGTTGGGGGTAGCTGGGGCCCCCAGCATCTCTCTTCTCTCCACCAGGCTCAGTGTCAAGGTGGCCTCCTCTTTTACTCACGCCTTTGATGTAAGTTCCTGGGAGGGTGAGGAGCTTAGCGGTGATGAGAGTCTTCAGGTGTGGGGTGAATAGGGGGTGGCCATGAGTCATGGGCCGTATGGCTGGGCTGACCTCGGGATTAGACTCTGCCCCAATAAGCCAGAGTGGGCAAATATCAGGGCACGTGTGTGTGTGTGTGTGTGTGTGTGTGACTGAGAGAGAGAGAGAAACAGTGATCATCTTAGGAAAGTGAATGGCATGATCTTCCACGGTCTCAGAACCTCACAAAGCTGTGGACATCTAGACCCTCACAAGGGTTCATCATTCTGGAACTTCACCCAAGTGACAAGTTTCCCAAACTCAGAAAGTTCCGTTTCAGAGCTCACAGAGCTCCGAGATTCCTGGTTCTCAGAGAGTTCTGAGGTTCTGGAATCCCACCATGGGCTCAGGTTCTAGAACATTCTCGGGGTCCCTAAAGTGACAGGAATCTAAGGTCAGAGCCCACAGACCAGGAGCTGGGTGCATTTCCTTTCCTCTTTCTTAGGCACTGCCCTGCTCCACAGACTCTCACAGGAAGGCATTTCTTCCAAACTTGTGGGGCCTGGGGTAAAGCCAGCCTAAATCACAGAATCTCTTTTGGGGTCACTGGTGGACAGCCAAGTGACCTATGCCTGCCGGGACCTGTGTCCTAAGGCTTGGTGGGAGGCTGAGGCAGCTGGGCCCCTGGGTTTCTCTCACTGGGAAGGGGGTGCCGCTGCCTACAAAGCCACACCCCTGAGCACCGCCCCCGCACCCCGTGCTGTGCGCTCTGTTGCAGGAATCGCCTTTAGAAGAATGGCTCAGCCAGGTGGTCCGGGCAGTGTATGCACCAAAGCTTAATGGTATGGCAGCCTTTGCTCTTTTGGACACATGGAGTGTCTGAGATTGTCTAGTCTGTTGCCTCTCTCCACGGTTCTGGGGTGGGGAACACTGAGGCCAGAGAGAGGTCGATCCTCATTTGCAAGATGCAGAAATCGAGGCACCAATTTTTCCATTTAAATCACATCGATTAGCACCTACATCATGCCAGCCTGTGGGCTTCAGGAGCTGATCTGACCTCAGTCCTGCATTAAGCTCCCACAGTCCAGTAGGAAATAATCGTATAAACAAATGATTGGAATATAGATGACCCAGAGTGTGTAGGCGATTGATGAAGCCTTTAGGAGGCCTGACACAGGAGTACCACTGACACGATACAGAATAGACATTTTTGTTTGGGTGTAGAAGGGTGAATGGGAGTTTGCCAATAAGAAGCTGACTCCCTGTGAAGAGAACAGGCTGGCTAGTGACAGTGGTGGCATAGGGTCAGCAGCGTCCAGTGGTCCTTCAGGGTCCAAGACTTCCCCACCAACATACCTTTGTTCCCAATGATTCTCTTTTCACAGTGGCCCTGGATGTTGGAATTCCCCTGCCTAAGATTCTTAATGTCAATTTTGCCAATTCAGTTCTGGGGATCATAGAGGTGAGTCTTCCATGCAGATGTGGCCCAGATGGGCCTTAAGCTTGTCTCTGGAAAGTCCTGCTTGACACTCAAAGGCATGAGGGGAAAGCTTTGCTTCATCCTCTGCTCTGTCCCCGACCCATTTTCTAAATTTCTCAGTGAATTGCAAATTATGTAACTTAGGAATGGCAAATATATGACGTGTGTGCTACTGACTCCTAGGTTCCATTCTAGAGGCCAGACATGTGTCCGAATCCAACAGGAAAGAACTCTGTGATTGATTGACAATGTCTGCCATGGGCCAGCAATGGAGGAGCAACAAATACATATGCTGCTTCTCCCTTATCCTGTGCCTGCAGAAGATATGACCAACAGATCATGACAGTTTTTCTTGCGGAATAATGATATGGTCTCACAAACCTTTTCAAACCAGCACAACTTTGGGTGGTGGAACAGCTCTGGGAGGTGGGCGGAGCAGAGGGTTCTGTACCCATTTCTCAGATGAGGACCAAGGCTGAAGTAGGTCAGGTTTCTGGCACAAGGTCACACAGTAAATTAATAGCAGAAATAGCACTTGAACTTGAGTCTCTTAAGTCCTCAAGTCAGAACCTGTCCCATACTGGATGTCATTTGTTCATCATTCACTCATTCTTTTAATGAGTGCCTTCTGTATTCCAGGTACAGGACAGGGGGGTAAGGATGGACTGCAGGGATCAGGCATTGCGAGGCTCAGAGGCCTAACCAAGAGTGGTTGTTCCTTACAGAATGCTGTTGTGCTGACCGTGGCATCCTGAGGCTGACATGTCCACCAGCTCTCCCTGTTGACTTCTAGAGACCACCTGTCCACCCTGCCTCAATTTCCCTCCCAGTCTCTAGCCGGTGTTGGTGACAGTATAAATGCCCTCTGGCCCTGCAGCACTACTCCCAGTTTGGGATGGGAACTTCCTGGCTAATCATAGAACTGCCTGAGAGAGAGCTCTGGGTCCTCAGTGGCAAGCCCTCAGCTTTCAATAAATGACTCCTCTGTCTCCGTACCACCTGACTGGTTTATTCCACAATCACATAGGACCTGCCTTGGCCTTTACCTCCAATGCCCTCCTTAGCTCCAGGCAGGAGCTTCTAGGAGATGAGGGGACTTAGGGTTTCACCATTGTAGCTTTGAGTCCCAAACTGACCATGTTGGCCTGAACAGCCTCTGTGTCCTGTTCTGCCTTTCTCTGGCCCTGCCCCATTGCCTCCAGCACGCTCTCTCTCCCTTTCTCTAAATACTTCTATTTTTCCACTCTGTCTCTCTGATTCTGCGTTTTTCTCTGTCTCTGACTTTGGGATACTTATCAGAAGTGACATCTGAGCTGAATCTTGAAGGGAGAATAGGAGCTTTCCAGGGAGAAAAGGCATTAGCACCCCAGGAAGCAAGGATGAGTGAGATTTGTTCTTGCCCTGTGGTGTGGGGGGTCCCTGTTGACTGACCATCAGATGTGGACACAGCTCAGAACAGAGCTGTGCCAAATGCTCTCGGTGCAGATGCGGAGACTCAGGAGCAGGGCTTGGCTGGCCCAGGCCATGCAGTGGCAGAGTAGGGATGAGACGGGGGGTCCTGCCTCTAGGTTCTGGGCTCCTCCCCACTGTTCAAGATGGGCCTCTTTGGTGAAAAATGGCCCCAAGTTGGCACTTATGGATGGCCCGGGTGAAGAAGTGCCAACCGTTTTGAAAACTGTCTCAGAGGATTGATTTGAGGCTAGGCAATGGGCAGGGAAGACTGGGGGCTCATCTGAAGGTTTGTCCCCCACTCATCCATTCAGCTGACCAGCCAGCCAGCCAGCCTCTCATCAATCCACCCACCCATCCATCCACCCATACATTTATCCATCCATCCATCCCCCTTTCATTCCGCATCCCATCCATCCATTTGTCCATTTACCTTTCAATCCAACCGCTCCACTATCCATCCATCCCCTCGCCCATCCATTTAGACTCCTATTCATCCATCCATCCACCCTTTCATCCAACTTTCCACCCATCCATTATTCTATCCACCCACCCACCCATCCATTCTCTCATCCATCCATCCATCCGTCAATCCATTCATCCATCTGTCCATCCATCCATCCATCCATCCACCCGCTCATACATCCGTCTTCCCTCCTTCTTCCTTCCTTCCCTTCCTCCTTCCCACGCTCTGTCATTTTTCTCCTCCTTTCTTTTCATTCATCCACCCTACATTTATTGGTGCCTGCCTGCCACATGCCAGGTCCAGTGCCTGGTGACATGTTCAGGTTTATCTTCCTGTGTCTGACTTCCAGACACTTCCAGTGCTACTGATTCCCATCGTGGTTAAATGAGTGGCTTGAGTTAGCTGCCTGTGTTCAAATCCCACCCTGGCTTCTGGTTAGCCATGCGGCCTCACACACGTCATTTAATCTCTCTGAGCCTTGGTTTCTTCATCAGTAACTTGATGTTCCACTGTGGCTTCGAGTGTTAAACCAGCACTCAGGCTGGTGACCCATCCGTAAGAAGCCCCCAGTTCAAGTTAGCTCTTGTTACATTATTATACCATAGCTACATTATTCTAGCTCCTCTCCACCCACAGCCCCAGCTATCCCTCCTCAGCTCTCACAAGGAGCACCCTTCCCTGACTTCCACCCTTCTCTCTTCCATCCCATCCCCCTCTTGCCCATCCTTGACCTCCTCTGACTGTCTCTCACTGTCACTGACAGCCCCACAGTGGCTGGATTCTCGGTGCCAGCAGGAAAGCATCCAAGCTCCAAGGTTTGGCATTCAATGCTGCCTGGGACCTGGCCTCAGCTGATTCCTCCTGGAACATACAGAGGGGGCAGAGCTGTCTCTGTGCCTCGGGCTCCTCATCTGCGAAGTGGGAACATTATTCACTCATGGGTCATCTGAGGATTAAACCAGAAAATCCTTGTAACGTTCTGACAAGAGTGCCTGGCACCTGGAAAATGAGTAATAACGTGCAGCCAGAGGTCTTTGCATGGCTAATTGCTCTTCCCGGAACATTCCCCCTCCTCCAAGTGTGTCTGCCATCCTATGCTGTCCTTCATACACAGGGCAGTGCCCGCCTCGTGGGGGCAGGCCCTGTATTGGACGGGCCACACTGGTCACGCCTCAGCCTCACTCTCCCACTTGCCCAGGAGCTCCTCAAGGTCAAGGCCAGTGTCTGCTTCATCGTGGTAAGTTCCGCAGCTGCAGAGAGTAGAGGTGAGAGAGTTAACCTCTGTTCAGCCCTTGCTTTGTGCTGGACACTATATCAGATGCTTAACATTGCTTAATGCACTTAATATCACAGCCCCCTAATGGGTGGGTATGATCATCCTGTTCTACATATAAAAAAGCTGAAGCTCAGAGAAATGGAATCAGCCAGCTTCTAAGGGGCAGAAGCAGGATTTGAACCAGATCCCTCTGACTCGAATTCCAAAGTCTGGGCTTTCACTGCTACGCCAGAAAGTGCTTGCTGCATTGATTGTATGCTTACTAAGTGCCAGGCCCCGTGCTGAGTGCTTTAACTAGGTCACAGTCATCAGTTCCTGAATCAGCCCTACTTTCTAGGAACTGTCTTCACCTTCATTATTCAGTTGAGGAAACTGAGGCATAGAGAAGTTAAGTGGTATGTGCAAGGCCACACAGCTAGGTAGTGACAAGGTCGGGATTTGAGCCTAGTGCCCACCCCCACCTCTGGAGCCCAGGCTCTGAACTCCACCCTTAGAGGGAGGAATCAAGCAAGACTGAAGGGAGCCCCTTGCAGCCCTGGAGGGCTGACGGTTTATGGCAGGGGAGCAAGGGCTGAGTGGAGGGTTGGTGGTAGGTCTGGATCTGTTTTCTAATCTCAGCAGCCCCAGTGTGACCCCCTCCCTGCCACATGGCCTCCTGTGTGGCTGAGTCACCTTTGGGGTGAGTCACCTCCCAGGGAATCTGGATGTCCTTCCAGCCATCCCCTGCCAGGTGCCTCCAGCTCCAGACAAAGGTGCCTTTTGGACACTAAGCCCAGGCGATCTCCCCGGCGCCAGGGCTGCCCTAATCCTCCCAGGGTGGCCAGGAGGGACCCAGGGGACAGGCTGGCCTTAGGACAGAGAAAAGACTCAGAGGCTTGGGTGACCGGCACCACTGTCATGTGCGCACTGCCCTCTACAGTTTATAGTGTGCATTGGCTCCTCTCTCTCAGGGGTGGGGAGAGGCACTCTTGGCAGTTGTGTTTCATTTAAAAAGATAATTTACTTGCATCACAAACATTTTTATCACACTAAGTATCAGGCAACGGGGAACCACACAGATTTTAAACAGGGAAGACCCAGGAGCTGAGTTACTCAGATGAGTGGCATCATTTTGAAATGTCTTCTCTAGTTTCCCATCGTACAGGGGTACACACTGGGGCACAGAGAAAGAAAGTCACTGCCACAGGTTTATGCTCCTAGCAGGCCGGGCAGAACTTACCCCTATTCAGTGTCTGCTTTCATCAGGGGAAACTAACTGTTTAGAGAGCTCTGAGGCTCCAGAGACAGTCAACACATTTCCTATGTAATTCTCACAACCCTCCTGGGAAAGTGTGAGCATGCTCATTTTGCAGGTGGCCAGATGGAGGCCAGGGAGAAGTGATTGTGGACGCTGAAAGGGCAGATGGATGTGGGAACGCAGGAGAGTGAAACTCTTGGAGTCCCTATTCCCTATTCCAGGAACCCTTCCAGCCCCCACAGGAGGCAATGAGGTGGTCTGGGCTGAAGCTACTTCCTCATGCCCCTCGAGACCCTCCCAGGCTTGCTGTCACGTGGGACCCAGGATGATAAGGATACAGACACCACCCACTGACCCCGACTGTGTGCAAGGCTTGTGCTCAGAGCTTTGCAGTTCAGGACGGTTCCAATCACCATCGTACAACCAAGGAAACAGCGAGAGATGGCAGCAGAAGTCAAGCCCAGCAGCCAGCTCCAGAGCCTGTGCTCTTAACGATTCCATCCATGTACCCACTGCAGATGGGGAAACTGAGTCCCTAGGTGGGGCTGGCCCAGTGGCACAGAAGAAGTGAGGGGTGACATCGGCCAAGCTTGGCAGGACTTATATCAATGACGCCTACCTTCAGAGCCCCCACTGCCTCCACAGAGGAAGGACAGGACATCTCCTTGGGGAGTTGGGGACAAAACACACGTATTCCCAGTTTGACTTGAGAGCAGGCATTGGAGGAGAGAGAAATGCTCCCCTGTCTCTCGGAATTCGCAGACGGGGAGGGTTGGAGCAGGGAGGAGGTGGCATTGATTAAACATACAGGTAGACCTGGACTGGGACTGTGGATGGGAAGCAAGGAGGCCTCAGGGAGCACTCGGTCCAGTGAAGAGCAAAAGATAAATTCATTCATTCATTCATTCACTTGTTCATTGTTACACTGGCATCTGTGCCTGTGCTGGCCTAGGAGTGGGGGCACATAGCTGGTTTGCCTGGAGAAATGACACCTCACTATGGGCCTCAGGGATAGCTTTCCACAGCTGCTGACACTTTTTTTTTTTTTGGACGCAGTCTTGCTCTGTTGCCCAGGCTGGAGTGCAATGGTACGATCTCAGTTCGCTGCAACCTCTGCCTCTCAGGTTCAAGCAATTCTCCCGCCTCAGCCTCCCTTGTAGCTGGGATTACAGGCACCTGCCACCAAGCCTGGATTTTTTTTTTTTTTTTTTTTTGTATTTTTAGTAGAGATGGGATTTCACGGTGTTAGCCAGGATGGTCTCAATCTCTTGACCTCATGATCCCCCTGCCTTGGCTGCCCAAAGTGCTGGGATTACAGGCATGAGCCACTGTGCTCAGCTGCTTCTGACCTTTTGACCATTAGAATTTGGAGAGGGCTTTGTAGATGGCAGGGATTGCACATGCACATGCCCAGAGGCCGGGGGGTGATGAGAGGGGATGGGAGGGATGAGAAGCTGTGTGCGAAGAGAGGGCTGGGGTGTTTGTACAGAGGCCGCAGATGCCAAGGGAAGTGTTCGGGGCTGTGTCCCAGCAGGTTTTGGAGGGTGCAACTGGGAGAAGGCAGACG